TCTGGTGTTCCCCATCGTGATATTGCTGGAATATTGCTAAAATCGGCATAAAGCTAAACTCACTCACTCACTCATGAACGAGTACCGGGAACTTCAGAAGGGAAATTCAGCGGTATTTAACCATTAAGTGCTTTACGTGAATAATCTGCACACAAAAAGTTCGCTTACTACGACCGAAAACAAACTTTAGTAATTAACGAGAAATCAACCCATAATAAACGGAGTGGGAGTTTACTGAACGGTTTTATAAGGATAAAGAAGGTTTTCACCACACATCCACGGTGTATCACGGTGTTTCAGCACCGTGTGCTACTTCTATAACGAACACGCTTATAGTGGAATAACGGATATTACGAACTGTTCTTATTTTTGTCTTGACCATTGTATTTTAGTCGAAATGCTTACATAACGAAGTACGGTTATAACGAACTGGAATTAAGGGTCCCTTTGAGTTCGTTATAACCGTAGTAACTGTATTTTGAATTATTTACGTCAATTACATTATAACACAACGCACACACGCACGCACGCATACACGCACACACGCACGCTGTCATGTCTATGTATCTGGTTGAGTGACTAACAAATATGTCGGCACCAGAAAAGATATATGAGTAAAAAGACACCTTCATTATCTTTCTGAAGGATCGGTAGATTACATTACAAGGTTTCAGTGACTCAGAAAAAGGTATGCTCACGGAGGTGTAACTGAGAAAGCAATTATTAACATGTTCAGTTCAGTAACCATGGCCAACATGACCTGTCAAGTGCGTGTTGCCATGGGCAGAGCAATTACATCAGTCGGTATCGCACGGGAGTGGTGTGGTGATGACGTCATAAAGAATATAGAATCATAAACAATCAAATTTTAAGCCTATTAGGTTGTTCGACTAAAGAGGGTTACAAAACAATGAGACAATTCTTTTTGTCTGCGATCGTATCAGATCAACTGCTATTGCGTCTCGTTGTTAATATGGACAATCCAAATGACATCGGGTCTTCCCAACTTCGAGACAAGCGGAGTTTAAATATTTTGCTGTTTAAACGGTAATTTATACAGGCGAATAACAGTACGGCGTCTCAAACATAGAGTAAAAGGTTACATAAAGTTAAACGAGATTTTGGGGGAAGATGTATGGTAACGCATTGATAGTAATGAATGTTCTTTTGTGAACATTCGTGCGTATGATTGATTTGTAATACTGTGTATACGATTGACTGCATTGTTCTGTAACATAGTACTATTCACTCGTGGTGTTGAGAGTACGACTGATATCGTGTGTATGATTGACTTGTAATACTGTGTATACGATTGACTGCATTGTTCTGTAACATAGTACTATTCACTCGTGGTGTTGAGAGTACGACTGATATCGTGTGTATGATTGACTTGTGATAGCGTGTAAACGATTAACCTGTGATGACGTTTATGATTTAATTGTGACAGAATATGTATGATTGATTTGTGATAGCGTGTGGACAATTAACTTGTAATATCGTGCATGATTCACTTGTAATATTGGTATTATACTATATTATTATGAAATCGTGCATATCTTCTTATCACATTACTAAGTGAGTGTGTCAGTCAATGTTTATTTCAGGCCCGATAATAGAGATTTAATCTATATCACGGCGGTCTGCAAATAAACGATCGAGCTTGTCGGCGGACAATGTTTGTTTGTTTGTTGTTTAACGCCACTCAACAATATTCCAGCTATATGGCGACAGTCTGTTTATAATCAAACCAGACAATCCAGTGATCAACAGCATGAGCATCGATCTACGCGACTGGGATACGATGACATGTGTCTACCAGTAAACCAATCCCGTTAGTCGACAAGCATGGGTTACTGAAAATCAATTCTATCCCGGATCTTCACGGGTATCGACGGACAACGCAACACAACGAACCAGTCACATAATGCCACCGATCCCCATTTGTCCCTTACAACCAGCATGGGGTACTGATACCTAGTGTACCTCGGAGAAGTTGAATAAGAATCGGAAGACGTATACATTACATAGATTTCCTCCTAAAACCTGTGTGAGCTTGAATGTATGTGTTGAAACTCTAATGTAATTTGGACTATGCCGTGAGGGCAATGTTCACAAAGAGAATTAGGATATAAAGTTTTATAATTTGTTAAATATTACATTAATTGATCTTTAAAATTGTAGTATGATTTGAAATAGGTTTTGAGGTTTATTGTCATTGAGAAACTTATTTACACAACTGGCAATCCTAGTATCTTAATGACTACTTCACAAAGAAGAAAATATACTGGCGTACATAAGAAAGTACACACCTAGTGTTTTGGGACTATTTCCCATTAAAACCATAAATATTTTGCTAGCAATGTTGTAAGTGGGTACAATATCTGTGGTGTTTTGGAAACACTTGCACAGTGTTTGTTACAAGGCAGAATCAAAACACATTTTAAATATTAATGCTGTTTTCAAGAAAATATTTTACCAAAGAATCAGGTGTATACTTTCTTTTGAACGTCAGTTTATTATGTGATCTTTAAAGTTTCTTAATGTATTTTTATTTCCATCAAAGGCACTGACAAAATACAGTTACAGAACGATTAGATAATATCAAAGAACGTAAAGAGGGCTTTATCTTTAAAATATTTAGTATATCATGACAAGGTTTTCATGTCAAGAGTTTTAAATTTCTGAGAGCGTGCGCATTTCTTTAGTTAGTGTTGGAAAACTATCTTTGTCTTGAATTATCATGAATTAGGCATCCTGACATGAAACGCAACTCGCCTTCTATTGATCATTTGCTCACACAAAATAAGATCTAAGGGTTGCGATTGCGTCTCCTTGACACAAACGTTGAATATAATTATAAATCAGTGGAACAGCTCAATAACGTGTTGATTTGTTTCCAGAATAGCCCGAAAGAAAACTATTAACTGCTAACCAGTTAGCAGCTGGGCCTCGTTCCTCAAAACGATCGTAGCGCTAAGATGATCGTAACTTCCATACTTTAACATAGACTTACGACTGTCGTAGCGCTACGATCGCTTTGAGAAACGGGGCCCTGGAATAGATGTGGATTCGGCTGATTGTTTTACGTCTTCTAATAACATTTGAGGTCAAAACAAACTGGTGACACAGACCAGTTGCAATTTGATTCTAAAATGTATGGGGAATTTAGTGATGCATTTTTCAAAGCTGAATATGAAATATACGTGATGTAATAGGCGTCTCAATACCGGCCTTCGCGAAACGTGATATTGTAAACACTATCCAATATGGCGGAAAGCGCTCTACGGCGTTCGTGTAAGTGCATTTTCGAAAACATCCCAACCGATTCTAGATTCATCGGCAACGTTTCAGAATTATAATTAGCGATTTCATGTAAAACTGATATCAGTGATCATGAATATGTTATTTTTGAAATTCAATAGTCCCAGTAATTATCCGATTTTCACATTTCAAAACATACAGCAAATAACGCTGTGAATCGCGATTTCGTACTGTGTCAAAAATGGCGACATTTTCGATGAAGCCTATTTTGAAAGGTCATTTTCAGCACTTGAGCTTTGTCTAAAATAATAGTGGATGGTATCAAGAAACAGGAAATTTCCCGCAGAATTCGAAACTGTGAAGTGTATTTGTGTGCGTGGGATATTTTGATTTTTATTGCACTTGAAATTGAGGGTTGAAGGGGAAGGACATATATGTCGCTGTGGCATCCAGGGGGTTAAGGAGGCCCAATGCAAATATAGAAACAATTACTGACAACACTATGGTGCAGTACATTTTTATACACTTTGACATTTATGTTACTAATACACTTTCTGAAAGATTTTGATTAAAATTGATTACTATACTTACAAATTCATTGCTTTGAGATAGGCAAGTTTTAAATCGAACATTCATAGTCTCTTCAAACAAAAGAGTTTTTCAAATGTGCCAAGTCCCGTTACACGTAGAAGATTCTTCGACTAGTCTCGCAAGTGTTTAGGTTTCAAAGCTACAACAACAGGGGTATAAGAATGGAATACTTGGTACCAATGCTACCATGTCGATGTTACTAACACATAAATATACTCATGGCAATAATGGTTGTCAGCCCCTTCTCCTCCCCAACCCCACACACACCTCACACCCACACCCCACACCCCCTCTCCAATTAAAACAGTTGAAGGGGGTGACAACCATTATTGGCATGAAAGACGTATCTACTAACGTTGACATGAAAGGATTTTGGTAAAATCAGTCAAAGCCCAAAGCACACGTTTTCTCTGAATTAAAATATTTGGTTGTTTTAATTAACAACTTAAGTATACAAAAAATGGATTCATAAATATAATAAATATTATTATGAAATAATTAATATACGAATGTACTTTAATAATGAGAGTGACCCACCTTATAAACTTCAACCCTCTTTATCCAAAGAATCCACGAAAACTATATCATGGTTTGACGACTTTTATACAAAATATCCACAAACTGAAAGGGGTCCGACTGTGAAGTACTGATGTAATATCCGAATGTGAATTCCGTCTGTAAACTCCGAATGTTAAGTCCGACTGTAAACTCCGAATGTGAATTCCGACTGTAAACTCCGAATGTTAAAGCAGGATCAGTAAAATATGTTATGTTTATTTTACCATTTCCACCTATAAAAAAGTACACTTTCACTTAACGTGTTCAAACACTGAATGTATAACGTTACGTACTGCGACGGAAATATATAAGTAATTTGGTAATTGTCACCGGGTTCATAAGACAAGTAATTATATGCTCATATTGCAGCTGGCTACAAACATGCTGTATGAAACATCACGCAAAGAGGTCTGAGTATTGAGGAGACCTTCTCAAACTGTGGGCGATTTTCTGTATCCAACCTTTCATCTATCGGGAGATTCCCTTTCATTCAGAGATCGCGTGCTGGGGCAATACTCACGACAGCACTTGACGTTACAAGCAAGGAGAATATACTTATCATTATAATCTCGACAGCAAATGAAACTTACCGTGTCTGTATTAATGACTCCCCGTCACCGTGCGCCGATAACGAGATACTGTTATCAAGCCTCCCGCTTTCAAAGACACCCGTTCTCGGATTCCACGTCCACTACAGAAAAAGCTCTGGTATATCCTGGTATATACCGTTATAATCGCCCAGTAGGCGATCGTCCTTTGCTCTTACGTTCATTCGTCACACCCCCTGTGAATTTGTATACCTGTGACTCTGTTTACACAGGGAGGCCATTCGACATGTGTAATAACATTATTGAACAAGTGACAAATGAATAAATAAAAAGATCCGTCAGCTAAAATCAATAATATAGTACCCAAGAGTCGGAGGTTTATTTAGTTCATTCGCTATTAGTAGAGCGTTAGTGTTCATTTAAAGTTGGGGCGGTGCGGTAGCCTAATGGTTAAAGCGTTGGCTCGTCACGCCGAAGACCCGGGTTCGATTCCCAACATGGGTACAATGTGTGAAGCCCATTTCTGGTGTCCCCCGCCGTGATATTGCTGGAGTATTGCTAAAAAAGCGGCGTAAAACCATACTCACTCTCTCACTCATTTAGTTGGTTGGTTGGTTGATATGTTGTTTTACGTCGCACTCAGCAGTATTCCAGCCATATGGTGGTGGTCTGTAAATAATCGAGTCTGAACTCAACACAACTCAACTCGAGTCTGGACCAGTTAATCCAGTGATCAACAGCATGAGCATCATTCTATGCAATTGGGAGACGATCATGTGTCAACCAAGTCAGCGAGCATGACCATCCGATCCCGTTAGTCGCCTCTTGCGAGAAGCATGGGTTACTGAAGATCAGTTCTAACCCAGATCTTCACGGGTTTGATATCCTTTAAAATATGAGATATAGGTGTGCATCTATCGTTGTAATCAGATATATAGTCTGTCTCACAGTCCCTGAACCTCGTTGTTATCCCTACTGACTAGCCCTTCCTGCAATGCTAAAGCCCCAGCTGAAGCAAGTCTAGATAGATTTCCTCAATCTCTCATCACACTGGGGCTCCTTTTCAATTTAAATGGGCTTATTCGTTGCTTTCAAAATTATATATGTTCAGAGGTGAGGTGAGGTGAAATTGGGTTTTACGTCGTGCTTGAGAATATTTCGCTCATATGACGACGTTCATGCGTGTGTATGTGTATGTGCGGCTGCTTGTACTAGCCCAGACTTAAGCTGGTTTTATAGTGCTAGCCCACTGAGATACCTTGCCGCAGTGAAGCATGAATACCCCTCTCAGACACATTATACTGACTCCGAGCCGACCAGTCCTTGTTGTACCCATTAATGCCGAGCGCCATATTTTAACGTCTTTTGGTATGACGCGGCCGGGGATCGAACCCGCGACCTTCGCTCTCCGGGCGGACGCTCTAACCACTACACCACGGAGACGGTCATATATATTCAGAGCGTTAGTCTATCAGGTATACTTCCGTTCCCAATTCTAGTGGTTCTAATGGTTAATGCGTTCGCTCATCACACTGAAGACCAAGGTTTTAGTCCCTATATGGGTGCAATGCTGGAATCCCATTCCTGGTGTCCCAAGTCGTGATATTGCTGGAATATTATTAAAAGAGACGTAAAACCTCCTCACTCACTCCACTATCAACGTCAGTTCCCTGTACGATGGATATACCCTTAATCACACAGCACTTACACACACAACACTTTCAAAACCAATGTTGGAAACGAACCCGCAACCTGTTCATTAGTAATACTACATACCCTGCCGAAACTGCTGACGTCGCAAGTTTTGTGTAATCACTAGTATTTTAGTTTTCTTTAACGATACACTCAGCAGTTTTCCAGCTATACGACGGAAAATGAAACGAAAATGAATGATCTTTTAAAGGCTTATTAAAGACTACTTTGGTGATATTTGTAGAGCTAAACAATCTTACAACCTCTAAGAGCAAAGTAAATTTTATGTTGTTTTTATACCCGGCCGAATTTACATAGATAAACATTGCAACATGTTCTTATCTTCCTAGTGATATAGACCCGTGAAGATCCGGGGTAGAATAGGTCTTCAGCAACCCATGCTTGCCACAAAAGGCAACTATGCTTGTCGTAAGAGGCGACTAACGGGATCGGGTGGTCAGGCTCGCTGACTTGGTTGACACATGTCATGGGTTCCCAATTGCGCAGATCGATGCTCACGCTGTTGATCACTGGATTGTCTGGTCCTGACTCGATTATTTACAGACCGCCGCCATATAGCTGGAATATTGCTGAGTGCGGCGTAAAACTAAACTCACACTCACTCACAGTGATATAACAATGTCCCGTGTGCACCGTAGTATCTGACAAGATACTAAATCATGATATTTCAACCGGAAATATTCTTTGAATAATTCAATGCTTTTTTTCCGAGGATTCCGGGACAGAATTGTGATTGGGTATGCTTTTATGCCGCTTTTAGCAATATTTCAGCAATCTGACGACGGGAGACAAAAGAAATGGGCTTCATACATTGTACCTATGTGGGGAATCGAACACGCGTCGTCGAACCCTGAGGAGCGAACACTTTAACTATTAGTCTATCCCATCGCCCCTTAGTCTGCTTGTGGAGAGGGTCTTCAACAACATATACCTGTAAGAAGCGGCTTAATGGATCACGTGGCTCGGTGACATTGTGGATTGCGTGTCAACCTAGCGGGCCATGGGGTAGTCTAGTGGTTAAAGCGTTGGAGCATCACGCCCGGGTTCGATTCCCCACATTGGTACATTGAGTGAAACCAATTTCTGGTGTCCCCCGCCGTGATATTGCTGGAATAGTGCTAAAAGCAGCGTAAAACTACACTCACTCACCCAGTCAACCTATCCTGTTAGGTGGATCGATGCTCATAATACTGATCACCGTATTGTCTGGTCCAGATTACGGTAGCGATGCCGACGGTCTCAGTTGTGAAGAGAACAGAGCGTCTGCGCGGAGAGCGGAAGGTTGGTGGACAATGGTGGTTCACCTCCAGGATACGTCATAACAAAATACGTTAAAGTATGGTACTTGATGTTACTCTGCCTTCCGCTTTGCGTTGTGCAGTGGTGCACGATCAGTGGCGTCAGTCAGTCTTAAACATAGGTGTATTCAGCTTTCAGGGAGTGTGATCCCTGTTCTCTTTGTTTTGTTTTGGGTTTGTTTGTTTTTTGCCATTGGTCTCTAAACGGTTAGTTAACTCGTTGAGATACTGCTCAAAGCTGTGTATAAACTTCACTCACTCACTCACTTGCTCATTCATCCACCCACCACTCACTCACTCTCACACTCACATGCTGACAATATTCTTTAGCCTGTAACAACTAGTATGCGTGTTTCCAAGTCATTGTTAATTTTAGCCTGTAACAACTAGTATGTGTGTTTCCCACCTCATTGTTAATTTGTTCCAAGAAACTTCCTTTGTCTAAATGCAAAACCAGGGAAGTACCAGTTCAAAACACAAGCCTGAATTGCAGAATAAAGCCTGATCAATATGTCTGAACCGAGGCAGCCAACAGAGTTTAAATATGCATATAACCTCGAACGTCCTGGTTTAAATTCAACTTCCTTGTCAACACTCACATCTATATACATCATTCCTGTCCTTTTAAACCACCACCAGCTGAATGGGGCAGTGTTATTGATTGGGTAGACTAACGCTTAGTCTCTGAATATATATAATTTGACAGGTAACAAATAAACCCATTTAAATTGAGAAAGGCAGCCCCATGTGGTTCGGATGGGAGATTCTGAACCTGGAGAGCCGGAAATCTAGACTTGCTCCATCTAATATGGCTTTAGCATTGCATGGGAGAAGGCGAGGCAGTATAATGTGGAAAAATAATGTGGTTCAGGGACTGTCTGGGCTAGAGCACAGACTATTCATTGTGTAACTCTGTTCTCAAGTGTAAAACACTTTCCAGTAGAGAAGTTGTGGTGTGCTACATTTAGACTGAGTTCTGGAAGGTACTCCAGGATACATTCCTATGGGCCTTTCTTCTATATTCTGACCCAGACAATGGAGACTCTTCTGGAGTCTTTGTTAAGTATACAAGGTGAGCAAACTCATCATTCTATTACAGGCCTAAACTGTGCATTTAATAAGGGCTGTTTATTTGTTTGTTCTTCAACACCACACTCAGCAATATTCCATCTATATGGCGGCAGTCTGTATAATTATAATCAAATCTGGACCAGACAATCCAGTGATCAATAGCATGAGCATCGATCTGCGCAATTGGGATATGACATATGTCAAGCAAGTCAGCGAGTCTGACCGCCCAATCCCATTAGTAGCTTCTTACAAGCGTGAGCAAAATAGCCCATGTGTGACCATGTTTGAAAGTAGTTCAGATAGATCTTGGAATGTCTGCTTAATGAACAAGGAATTCACAAAAGTCACCAACCTCATTTTAATCAGATCAAAATGCTTTTCACAGCAATAGTGAGAACTAAAAAATAATTTTAGATAGAAGCAGTGCCAATTTACATTTATCAAGGGGTACACAAAGTCTGCAGTCTAGACGACCAGTTATCCGACATCCATTTTTTGTGGAAGTCGCGGTGGCTGAGCGGGACAGGTGGCTGATTTTGTGTTATGGCGACTAGGTGCCTGACTCTGAGGGTGTGGGTTCTAATCCCAGATGGGAATCAACCCAACAAAAGTACTAGAATCTGTACTTTACTGAAAAAGTGTAATCCCAAACATGACATGTGTTACAGATAGAAATCTGACTGCTGAATTTGTTTTATTTTTGTACTCATAGCAACATTCAAGCAACATATTGGTGACATTTAGTTAATTTTTACAATTAAGAAAGGGCTTCACACATTGTAATGACTACAGATAGAAAGTGATGCTAATCTTGATTTCTAATACACAATCAAGACCCATTGGTGAAATCGAACCTGGGTCTTCGGCGACACTTTTACCCGAGACCCTGATGATGTTGATCCATTTATGAATCGAGATCCTTCACATCAAATTGCAGCACCTCAGGTGACTAGGCCAACCGATAACCCGGGCGTGAAAAGAACACAAACTCTGTAATTCAGTTAAGTAGTTTATTGTATATTGCATATGACAATATATCAGATCCCACACCTTGCCTGTTCATCTAGAACAATATTGCACATAACACGATTACACTGTGATAATAGTCAATAACACCTAGCAGTCAATTCTTGCTGTAGCATGTTATGATTCTCCATCCTATCTTCCGTTCTATGCTGCCCTAAAGATTAAATCTAATCTATGTGGAATGACACAAGCATTATCATTTCGTTTGCTATCCAATCTGAAAAACTGTAATTAATTTCATAAGAGAAAATCCTATCTGTACAATAAATCAATAAAACTGTCATCTGGACCTAGAGACTGGTAAGCCAATCCAAAAAATTGGAAAGCCGATATGGAAAAATGATAAAATTTCACTAGAAAGCTGGCCAGCCAAACTAGAAAAATGTTAAACCACATCCAGAATACTTGTAAACCAAGCCAATTCTGGAAAAGTGGAATGCCTCACTAAGTAAACTAGTAAACCATACCTAAGAAACTGGTAAACCGAACTTAGAAAGCCATTCAAACATGGTAAGTCAAATGAACTGATTGGTAAGCCAGGTCTTGAATGGAAAGCCTGGTCTAGAATGATAAACCAGGTCTAAACACCTGCCTAGAAATAGTGATAAACATTCCATAAAGTTTGTCATAACGAGGTGATGTGGAGAAAAAAGCTGTTAGGAAAAATAATTCAATTGAGAGGTGAATATTTGGTTTGGTGAAATAACAAGGCATCAGTGTAGGCTCTGGATCGAGTTGACCCATTCTGTAACATGACAAGCAGGACGATCCCTGTTGATGAGTAAAATCTTACACCAAAGCAGCCAGGCAATCATTATGACTTGGGAAAAACAGATGGAGGTCATTCACCACAACCATCTTCACTTCAGGAATCCAAACTGGTTCAGGCTGCCTAGGAACAGCATCGTCAGGAACCAATGAACCAATGGAAACAATATTTGAAAAAATGTAAGCTCTTTCTGTTGAAGGATAGTGGAATACACGATATGATGCAAGTCCAATCTCATTAAAATCAGATCCTTTACCGATACAATACCTCTCTCTTTGAAGACCTCTACTCGATGCTCATGCTGTTAATCACTGGACTGTCTGGTCCAAACTTGGCTTCAACACCTGTTTCAAACTAATTTTACAGGAGAAGAAATTCTGGAGTGATTGTTTCATTTCTTTCATTTCACATGTGAATCTTTTCGAAAAACTGCCAGATAGGATTCAAAGCTGGCTCAACAAGTCAACCTTAACATCCCGATTCTCGAAGACTAACATATAGACAAACTGTATCATGTGTGCTATTCTGATTATGATTATGCTAGTTCGAGTTGGACAAAATGTAGCTGAATTAACTGACATACCTATGGCTAAAACTGATAGTTATACAAATGAAAAATCAACTAAAAAATTCATTACTTGAGTGTGGTCAATGAAATTTTTGAATGGCTTTTATGATTAATACATTAAAAAGGAGGGTATTTGTTATATCAATTTCTTCATTATAAGGAACACAACATTTGTCTCCTACTCCATCCATGTGATGTGAAGGACAATGAATATACTCCAAAATGTTGCGTAACTTATAATAAAGAACCATGACATCCACAAATTACTACATGTGGTCGAAAAAAGTAAAAATAAATCTCAATTAAAAGATACGAACCTCAAATGACACCAAAATGAAAAAACCCATTCCTCTTTCTAAACAACTAGCACAGGATTTGAGATGACAGGTTACATCTGAACATCACTTGACGATGTAATCTTGAAATCTTCATCCCGACACTTAGAAAAGGCTTAAAATGTACAATACATCAGTATGGAATGAGAAAGCAAAGCAACACAGTAGCTTCCTCTGTCTGTCAGCATAATCGGGCCAACGATTTCATATTCTTGGGATAGGCTGCAGGGATTCCTTTACAATTAATCCATACCTCTATGTTGGAAAAAACATGATTGATTGTCATTCCCTTAAAGCAATCTATTACACAGCAAGGAATGTTGGAAATAAACAATCTGATGTATCAAGCATTTGGTGATATCTACACAAGCATAAACTATGATGAAAAATAATTAAAGCATTAAAAAATAAAAAAATCTTTTTTTGTCAGAAGGAACGATGATGTTTAAAGAAGCACTTTCCATCGCTTGAATAATTGAACTTTTTAGCTGAGTTTAGCACAAACACCTCAGTCATTAGTACAGACTCATAATATATGATATATACTGACAGAAAAAAATAAGGGAACACCACTTCATCGTAGTGTTTCTTTCTCTTTTCCCAGACTTTCACAACAATGGAACACAAAGCTTGTAAAGAAACCTGGTAAAGAATAAGGAACGCTTGTACTTTCAAATGTTCCCTTATTTATTGCCCTCAGTATATATATCATATCCGAATTCAATCCCCTGATAAGGTAGGCAACACAAAACTCCTGTCATTTCTCACTGATGGCATTATCAATTCTATCAAAAAAATATTTAATTCATTTGAAAATAGTGATAAATAACCTTTCAAACATTAGCAAACAGATTAGCCAGCCTTAAGTTCAAACATAATCGATACATTCTTTTAAATTTAACTGAATAAAAATTTAAAAGTGAGAATTTAGTAAAATCTTTCAAGAGCACTCAGAATTTAGTACTTAACATGATAGCAGCTTCCAAGCATGCGTGGATCCTTGATAAAGTACAAATACGTAGTACTACAGTCTACATTGTCTTGTATATATGCTTCACAGATACATTTAGCATCACATACACTAGTCCAACTGTGGCTACAATGTCTACAAGGCTACAGCTGATATGATAACTGACCTGAAGAGTCTCAACACTTTAATACTGAAGTTACACTGGAGGTAATGAGAAAACATACACTGAGTTACATCATTGAATATTGTACATACAATGCCCCAATAAAACCTATCTGGTCAATCAGCATTTTCATCATTATATCATTTTCAAATTATCTCTTCAAGTAATCATCGAACTACTTTTGTTAAACACACCTTTGTCATATTTCAATCATATATCTGAGTATATTATTTAAAAAGTTGAAGAAGAAATCAAAAATGAATTTTGAATATTTTTTCCACTGTAATTTATACTTATTTTTAACCCAAGAGTCCATGGCCGCCCTGCAAACAATGTAAACCTTGATTTATTTTTTTTACACAAGTAGGTTGAGTTTTTTTGTAATTCTCTTCCAGCAAATAAAACTGGATAATTTGTATCTAATTTTGTCAGTTTGCAGGGTCCCAGTTAAATAAATATAAGATCCAAAAAACAAAAAGGGTTGGTGTAAATATTTTTAAGTGACAGATTTTTTTTATGCTAACAGCAGTAAATAAATACAGAACTTGGGTATATTCATTTACATATATTCAACTCAATATACATATGTGATAAATGTCAACTTTTTAACTAAAAGAACAAAAATAAACTTTACAAAATTAAAATGTTCTTAATATACAGTTGTAATATTTGATATCACTTACCCTCAAATCTAATACATCTTTGGAATACTTTGAAGAAAACTCCAGAATTCAACAACTTCCAACACAGTACTGTGGTAATTATTACTAGATAAACAATATATACATAATAGTGGAAACAAATAAAAACAAATATAGATATTACATATCTCAGCTGTATACCAAAACTGTACATTAGGCCAGGCTAATTTTATTTCTAGTTTTACAGATTTTTGTCCTCAGATAACCAAAAGGCAGGAGGGAAAAATATATAAATAAAATCACCAGTCAAAGTAATATTCCTTCTAAATATTAAAAGTATTTTACTTTTGGTAATTTGTGAAGTGTATATGGGACAAAAAACAATACATAACATTTTCTTGTAAGTTTACATTATTGGCCCATAAAAACATTAATATTTTATTTTTTGAGCAGGGAATTTTTTTTTTTTTTCTTATTCTTGAAAAAATACGACCAGCGGATCAGTAAAACAAGAAATATAATTGGTCTGGCCTAATGAGAGAAAAATAATTCTGAAAATGTTTCTAAAATCGTAATCACTGAATACACTCACAGTTTTGTCTTGTATTTTATTTTTTAAATGCATACAATAAAATATTCACAAGTCCAGATTCTTTCAAGAATCTCATATTAATACTCTAAACTTATTTTCCCCCTCAAGAATATTCAAATATACAAAATTCATTTGCAACTGTGAACTTAAGCAGTTATGAGAAATGAAAATACAGAAAAAACAGTAAAAAACAAAAGTATTAGCAGCATCCAGAAAGGGAGGTTGATGTACTGTTTTACGTGTACAAGCAACTGTGCCGACAGCTACGTAAAGCGCGTGAAACCTCTTCAGCACAATTCAACAGGAATGTAAATGGTAGGTACAATGGTGTCTTGTAAAATGGTGTATATGATACTACGCAGCTAAATGACAAATATGTACATTGATCAACAGGAAGAATGTTCTGGCAACAGTCTAACACTGCAAAGAATATGTGTGGAATCTGTCAGGAACCTGACATAATGCAGCAAAGAAACTTCAATGGAAGCATCGTCTTCCAAAGAATCTACTGGCAATAAAGGAAGCATCGACTTCAAATGATCTACTTCCCAGGGTAACATTACTTAACTTTGAAACCCTTACAGATTTGGGCCAATTTTCACCAACCCGTTACCATATAATTTCAACCTGATATAGAATAAATTCAAAATATTGAAATATAAAATAATGCTTGTTTTAATCTCTTCGGAAAACATATCAATATCAATAAGGAACTGTTATCTTACATGACTTAAGTACATTCACATTATGCGACTTTTGTATGAGAGTATGTTAGGTTTAACACCATTTTGAACAGGAGAATTAAGTGGCATCACTGTTAGCGAGTTTGATGGGGGAAAGCCCAAACTAACGCAAGCCATTGACAAATACACCTTTGTTGAAACCAAAAACCATGGGTATGGTACTGCCAAGAGATGTAACAAACCACCTACATCAAGTATCACTACATAGCGATAATTGAGCCACAAGATGGTATCCATAGCAGTATTAAACTGGCACTACTTTTAGTAAAAACCATGTGGTCTACTTATCAACCTGTTTGAGTTTAGCGTATCTACCTGGCTAATAAACAGCTCCTTCTAATTGTATTATGCAGTTTTAACATTTTTGTGACAGTTTGTCAAGACATGCCATCCTAGGTAGCTGCTGAAAAACTTTGGAAAGATTACTTCTGGAAAATTGACATTCGTCCATACGCTAGTCCATACACTGGTAGGTGTATTGTGAACCATATCATCAAGTGAACGTTCTCAGTTCATCGATAAGTTTGTGAATCTCAACACCTCTAAATCTAACAGTTTAATGCTCACAGTGAGGACTGACTGACTGAGTTTGGTTTTACGCCGCTTTTAGCAATATTCCAGCAACATCACGGCAGGGGACACCAGAAATGGGCTTCACACGTTGTACCCATGTGGGGATTCGAACCCGGGTCTTCGGCGTGACGGGCCAACGCTTTAACCACTAGGCTACCCCACCGCCCCTCACAGTGAGGATGGGAACAGTGCCGACATTACTGAATGTCCCCAACTACTGTTACCCTCCTAGGTCAATGACCGCTTGTCAACTCGTCAATGAACTGTTACCCGATAAAGTCATCTAACACCTTTCAAGTCCAGCAGACATCAAAACAAATGATGCCAGCTTTGAGAAATGAGATATAAGATACAAAGCTGAGAAATAATATGCAAATCAAAATGAACGATACTGTTAAAATCCAATCCATATTTACAAGGAGCAGAAAATGTTTTTACAAATGAAGAAATGAAATGGGTTAGTTTACTTAACAATTCATACAACACTGATATGTCAATTGTCTACATTAACCAATAAAAATTGATCTACGATAGCTACTGTCTAAGCCTTCAAACCTAAAACCTACTCAAGTCATCATCCATTTTCTGTCAACTTTTCATGCCGTGAATCTCTTATCAGAGAAACCTTGGATAAAACATCATCAATCTGTTCCTGCAGTCACAATCTGAGATTTTGGAACTGCAGACAAGAGACAGAAAAAATGGAAGAATATTTTTGGCAATGTTTTGACTCCGATTGACATAAGTGTACATAGTGACATCCAGAAATTGTTATTTATAGAGTTGTACATATCCTTATGTCAAGCCTTTCACAAAGCCAACAGAAGACACTTTCATTGGTAATGCTTGCTGAATGCTTCGAAAAAAACAAGCATTGATAGATACATGTATACTGTGGTATGGAATGTAAAGTTTTAAAATGTTAGGGACAGCTCTGAGCAAGAAACACAATCAGTTTCTGTACGGTGGGTTCCATAAAACAAATCAACGAAATTCTGGAAATTCTATAAAGCATACTTATAAGCAAGGGTTTGTATTAAACATAGCAATGTAACAGTCAAGGTAACTAAACATTGAGCTTCATATCAAAAGATGCATTTTTTTCATGTGATTTTTCGTAAAATTGATATTTTATACTTATCCTGACTCATGATCTTTTGCTTATCTCCCTTTCCCTTGTGAATGGTAGTGGAACACTTGAATCCCTTGAAGTTCCCGAAGCGGACGTAAAAATACACTCACCCACGAGTTACCTCCCTTTTCCCGCGTAAACAGTCATGTGACCAGCCTTACTTGTCACTCTCTCCTGATTTTTCTGCCCAAGCACTTGGATCTGCTGTGCAATCCGAAGTGTTTCCAGCGGGGAGGTTGGAGGGCTTGACCTCATGAGTCAGGATAAGTATAAAAATATCAATTTTACTTGAAAAATTACATATTTTTTCTTATCCTGACTCATGATCTTTTGCTTATAGAATCCTGCTGATTGGTGGTGGGTCAGGTCACTTCCTGGATTCATCAGCTGTCCTTAGATACGTCCTGTATCCCCCCCATGGGAACTGCGTAGCGGCATTTCTGAGATCCTATTCTTCCAACCTTCCGTTATAACTCGGGGGGACCACTTCTTGTCTTACTTCCATCTCAGACAAGTTGAATCATCTTGATTCATGTGGCTTCAGATAAACTAGTATCTTCTTATTACTAGATATCTTATAACAACCCATAGATTATGATAAGATCTTTATCATAAATGAGTTGCGACCCCTTCACGTACAGGTAAGATCTTTACCCGTACAGGATCTTTAATCACTCATGCTAGCCTGTCCTAGACTGTGCGCATGGACTTTCAAACTAATACTTTTCCTTAGTAAAAGTTATCAACAAGTCAACGTGATAAAGGGTGAGATTTTCCAACTCAGCGCCTTTGAGGAACCGTTAGTTGCTGTGCTACAAAGAGAGGCCAAATTGGTGAATGCCTGAGACGTCTTCAGTGGCTATGTCTCGAGGTAGTGGTTGGCAAACACTGTATCCGACTTCCAAAAGCAGCCCTCCATAATTGCTGATATAGAGCAATTTCCGTGCAGAGCCAATGTTGACGCCAGTGCTCTGACTTCGTGTGGGTTGGAAGCTCTAGGAGGTTCTAGTCCTGCTGCTTTATAGGCTCTCAATATGACGGCTCTCATCCAGAACGATATCGTCGTTCTTGAGACTTCTACTGATGTCTCTGTGGATAATGGGATGAACAGGCACTTGAATTTTCGTCTCCTTGTCTCAGTCTTTTGAAGATATATCTTCAGGGCTCTGACGGACACAAGGATAGGTCCTCTATATCCTCTGGTCCGAGGATTGTAGATAGCGCTGGTACGTGGAACTGTTTATCTGGCCGACCAGGTAGTTGGTTCTTGGCAATGAAGTCCCATCTAAGTCCTAGATGAACTGCAGCATGTTGCCCCGTGTCGAATCTGGTTCGACCAAAGTCCAGCGCATGTATCTCTGATATCCGAGCTGCCGTGGCTAGCGCAAGCAGGAACAGAGTCTTCTGTGTCAGCAGCTCGAAGGTAGTCTGATCTAGAGGTTCGTAGGCATCACTTGTAAGATGACGTAGAATTACATTCAGATCCCAGGCCGGAGTTCTAAACTTCTTTTGCTGGTCCTCCAGTTTAAAAGATCTCAGCAGAGCAAGTAATTCTGGTACTTTCGTCAACTTGATGCCTGTTTTCATGGTAATCACTGTACTGATGGCAGCGAGGTATGTAGATAATGTCGAACCTTTCAGATGTCTAGTCTGTCTAAGATGACACAGGTATTCCGCCACTTGAGGATGAGTAGCTTTCATAGCAATGAAGCCTTTCCGCCTTGCATAAGTCTCAAACTTCAGCCACTTGTCATCATACAGGTTATGAGTAGATCTGCGTAACGCTAGCGTTACTGCCTTGGCTGCCCTGGCGGAGTATCCTCTTTTCTTCAAACATGTTTTGATACGGTCCACACGTGTAGCTGGAACAGTGTTGGGTTCCCGTGGACTTGCTTGGTGTGCGGATGTATGAGTAGGTTCGGCCAATCTGGTAACTTGATTGTTGGACTTCCGAGATCTTCTATTAGGTCTAGGAACCATACTCTCGCTGGCCAGTATGGCATGACCAAGGTTAGTTGTAGCGCCTGTGTCTGTTTGATCTTCAACAGTACTTTCGGTAGTAATATCAGTGGTGGAAACGCATAAGCGTTTAGTCCTTCCCATGATATGCTCAGTGCATCTGTTGCCCAGGCTTGAGGATCTGGAACTGGTGAGACAAACGTCTCTAGTTGTTTGTTGAACCTCGTGGCAAACAGGTCTATGCATGGGGATCCTATTTCCCTTATGATGAGCCGAAATGCTTCTGGATGGAGCATCCATTCCGTAGGTGACGGGTGCAGTGGTCGGGAGAGAGCGTCTGCAAGCACTTTCTTGGCTCCGGGTATGTGACACGCCTTTATCCAGATGTTTGCCTCCTCCATGATGTCAAACAACTGGAATGTGAGCTGTAGTAGGCTTGGTGATCTTGTAGATCCTTGCCGATTTATGGAGAATGCCACTGTAGAGTTGTCCGTGTGGACCATCAGCATTCTGTTGATCAGCGAGCTCGACCATAGTTGCAAGGCGTTGATCACAGCTTTCATCTCCAGCAGATTGATGTGAAGATGCTGCTCTGTTTGGACCACTTCCTTGATGCAACTTGATTGTTGAGATGTGCACCCCAACCTTGTATCGATGCGTCTATGTAGAGATGTGTGTCAAAGGCAAATAGGTCCCTCCGTAGACGTTCGACCTGTGGGTCCACCAAAGTAGGTACCTCTTAAGATTGTCTGGCAGCAAGATAGGGTCGACGCTGTCCAGAGGTTTTGTCAGGAACCGTTGCAGCAGCCTTAGTTGTAACCTTCCTGTGCGAATCAAGTCCTGCGCCGAGGTTAGTATACCGAGTAGACATTGCCATGTTCGTAGTGTTAACAGAGAGATGACTGCTTGTGGAATCATGGCTTGTATCTTGACCAAATGATCTTCTGGGACCACAATTCGATTCTGTGTTGTGATAATTCTTATTCCCAGCAATTGAAGATCTTGTTTGATTCTAACTCCAACTTCATCAGGTTCACTAGCCATCCTAGTTGCGTGAGCAACTTAATTGTGAAGTTCAGCTGCTGTCTGAGTTGATTGGCACTTTGAAGAACCTGTATGCCATTGTCCAGATAACTGGCACTGCGTAGACCTTGATGTTGAAGATAGGTGCCGATAGGCTTGGTTATTTGTATGAATAATCACAGAGCCGATGATATTCCAAACGGTAGGACGTTCCATTGGAAGTGCTAACCTCTGATTGCAGTGATGATACATCATTCTTCCCCTTATATAGGCAGGCGATCTGTGTTGACATTGAAGCGTTGTCTATTTATAGCAAGGCTGGCTCCTGTGTAGCATCACAGAGGACAGGTACTCATACCAACTCTTATCAGCGACAACTTCCAAAATAAACATCGTTTATGCTGCTGTACTTCGGGTAGAAGTAACAGGGGATCATAAAAAAAAACGTCTACTTCATGCAGAGGTAATATCTCTTCGTTGAAGGATTTCTGATGCGTTGACTTACTAGGTCGCGTAGATTTACCCTCCGATCTGGTAACAGATGCTTTCTTCTGCGACGTAGAAGAAGATGACGTCTTTTCTTAGCTTGAGTCGGAGTCAACTGCTTTGTAGCCGATCTCTTCTTGGCCCCCGTAACAGCAGACTGCCCCTGCAACGTACTCAACATACCCAGTATTGTGAATTTCAGCAGTAGCAAGCAACATACGGTTTGCAGGCTGATCTCCTGTTTTATCAGCCGTGACTTGAGATGACTTCCTCACCCGATCCATGGCACGTCTATAGATATAAGACAAATTTTGATTTAATTGTAGATTTGATAAATCAACACAATAAGTACAGCAAAAAGCTGGAAGAACATGGTTTGATGCCCAAAGGGCATTGGGGTTGAGGATCAGCCACGGATAACCTGTGCCTGCAAACACTGCAAGATTTCATGAAATGTAAACAAGTTACATCACGATGAAATTATGACAGAAATACAAATAATTTTATAATTTTTTTTACATATAATACAATGTAGTTATAGCCAAATCCATACACAGTGTAAATTTGAAGAATAGGACCTAAATCAAAAGGATATAATGCCATATACGGGACTCCAGTGCTCGCCCAACCATCCACTTGGGCAAAAAGGGAGAGAGTGACAAGTAAGGCTGGTCACATGACTGTTTACGCGGGAAAAGGGAGGTAAGTCGTTGGTGAGTGTATTTTTACGTCCGCGTCGGGAACTTCAAGGGATTCAAGTGTTCCACTACCATTCGCAAGGAAAAGGGAGATAAGCAAAAGATCATGAGTCAGGATAAGAAAAAATCAGTTTTTTTTTCTCAAAATCCTTCTAGTGTTTTGTAAACAGAAACGTCAATGAGAGATAGAAAACGGTCTTGATCATATCCCCAGAAGCAAATTCCATGTAGTGTAGGGTGAAATAGGTGTGAAAATTATATGTATGTACCACTCAAGATCAATGATGACACCAGGTGTTCCAATGGTAATCCTGTTCAGTGAGGTTTAGTCAGTTCTCTGCTTTAAAATCTCAGGTAACTCTCAGGCTGATATGGACACAAACAATGCCTCCACTCACTGGTTACAAAGTTAAATGAGCAAATGAGTTGGGTTTAACTCAAATTTGAGCAGAATTTCTGGTGTAGCCTGCCATGTCAGCATGATATAGGAAAAATGGCCCAAAGTGACACCATCTCATGCATTTCCTATTTGTTGAAAACCATATGAAGGTTTATTGCTCCCAAACCGAGAAACAATTGGAGTGAATCAAGGATTCATGTCCATGATTGTTAGATTCTAGCATGGCCTGAAGACAGTGCCACACCTTGTATACGGCAAAATTTACACTATCAAAATTAATTAAAAAACAAAATTGGTTGCAGACAAGGAGATCCCCTTTGCCCCACATATTTTACTTGTATATGAGGGATATGATGGGAACAAATAACAATATACAAGGTTTACATTTAATGACACAGGACATAAATTAGGATAGTATGCAGACAGTAATGAATGCCTTCTTCAACAAAATTATTAATACATTCAACACACTTTATAAAATGTCGGGGCCAAAAATACATGTCAATTAAACTATGTCAGTTTGAACAGGATCAATGGCAGGAAATCAAAGAGAGATTTTGACTGACTGACTGAGTTTGGTTTTACGCCGCTTTTAGCAATATTCCAGCAACATCACGGCGAGGGACACCAGAAATGGGCTTCACACATTGTGCCCATGTGGGGATTCGAACCCGGGTCTTCGGCATGACAAGCGAACGCTTTAACCATTAGGCTACCCCACCGCCCAGAGATTTTGAAGGATTAGCAAAACATTTATTTCAGGGATAAACACTAAAAAAATTCAAACAAAGAATGTTTTCAATCTGATGAAAAAAAACAACCTAAAGAAATGAAACAAGTTTGCCATGCTACTATATTAAGTGAACAGATAATAAATGTGCTGAATCATTTAATTCAGTTGCAGATTAAAAGGGCAAATTAAAAATATTGAATATGTTACATAAGAATTCCACAACCACCCAGAAAACTATAATTTTTTTATTTCCCTTGGCGAAGTCATTGAGGTAGGGGGAGCACAGAAAAAAATATAAATGAAAAGGTCTCATTAACATATGCAATCACTGGATTGACCGACTGTAAGTAGATAAAAGTTTTAAATTGTTGTTATAATTACATCCCATCACAGAAGCAATGATCTATGAGTGCAATGAGATATTGGAAATGGAACTAAATATCAACAGAGACAAATGTTAATGCATTTGGAATAAGTACACGTGTAACGAAATGTTCAAATCAAATCCTCCATAGAAGTATCTACACTACAAGGGAATTGTTGAAAATGAAACAAGTTGACAACCATACCTCCTTATGCTGAAGAAAAGCAAGAGAACATATGTACCAAGCTTATTCACAAAGCAGAACAATTTGGGGTATAGGTCCGTCTCCTATTCTCGCGAGTTTCCTATTCTCGCGGTAAACACGTTTCCTGCCGAAATCGCCGAAGCGCGACACTTACCAGTTGTTTACATCACCGACTGGTAACTAGGAAGTGGACCAAGTCTGTGAGTGATCAAAATCTTGCAGTGTCACGAATATTGGGGAGTTTATACCAACTTGGACATATCATGACTTTTTCCCGCCCTTTCCGGCAGGATTGCTCTTACATACACTCAATAACGTTAATTCCTGGTAATACCGCGAGAATGGGAGAAGCCTCGTTTCGTCAATGGCGGATCGTATTGTTTATCACCGGGCTCATGAGTGGTAATTCACCTGATGGATCTAGCAGCTGATAAGATGCAGATGTTAGAGGAGAAGGCCCTTCATTTAATAACAACAAGCATTCATACGATAAGAATTGTTTGTGTTATTTTTTCAGCCGATATCCGTAAGCACCGCGAGAATAGGAAACGCCTTCCTACTAAGTAAAATGTACAGGGGGGTGAGCAAAATATGGAACAATCCTAAAAGTAATCACAGTGACCCGTACCCCTACCTACACACACAACCTCCCCATTTTAAGTAATGAGTACCTTAGTACACAAGTAATGTGAATTAATGTGAATAAAAGTGAATATCTGTGAACAGATTACTTGTTTGAATATAACTGTACCAAGTCATTTATAACACATCTCGGACCCATCCACAAAACGTTCATAGCACTATACCATTCATAAGCCTACAGTAAAGTATAGAGGTACGATAGGTCGTAACAACACGAATGCTTTGTGGATCTGGACCGAGAAACACACGTCGGCCACTGTAGCGTTTAGAGTGAAAGCCCCAACACTTAATGCTTATTGGACGACAAATTCATTAGTAAATGGTTGAAGCTCTTTGAGCGATATATTTACCTGCTCATCTGGGTTTTCAAACTTAATCACATAGATCATTTCTCCAGATTCGAAACTGAGTTCATCCTGGTCTTCACTCTGATAGGGATGAGTTGACTGGACCTGTAGGAAGCAGACGCAACTCGTGTACAAAGTGTGGTACTGACATACAGTTATGTCCATGCATCTCATGTACAGAGTGTGGTACTGACGTACAGTTATGTCCATGCATCTCATGTACAGAGTGTGGTACTGACATACAGTTATGTCCATGCATCTCATATCTAAATGTCCATATGTTTCTTTTCTGAATGCTTATGTCTCACTCCTTAAAGTCAATACGTTTCAAAGTCCATGTCTAATACTTCAATGTCAAAATATCTGACATTTAATAAAATCTCTTTTATACTTCAATGTCCATGTTGCTTTCATATTTCAATGTCTACTTTTAACACTTCAATGTCAATGTCTAACACTTCAATGTCCATGTCTAACACTTCAATGTCCATGTCTAACACTTCAATGTCCATGTTTAATACTTCAATGTCCATGTCCATGTCTTATACTTCAATGTCCATGTCTAATACTTCAATGTCCATGTCTAACACTTTAATGTCCATGTCCATGTCTAATACTTCAATGACCATGTCTAACACTTCAATGTCTGTCCATGTCTAATACTTCAATGTCCATGTCTAACACTTCAATGTCAATGTCTAATACTTCAATGTCTATGTCTAACACTTCAATGTTCAATGTCCATGTCTAATGCTTCAATGTCCATGTCTAACACTTCAATGTCCATGTCTAACACTTCAATGTCATGTCTAATACTTCAATGTCCATGTCCATGTCTAACACTTCAATGTCCATGTCTAACACTTCAATGTCCATGTCTAACACTTCAATGTCATGTCTAATACTTCAATGTCCATGTCCATGTCTAATACTTCAATGTCCATGTCTAATACTTCAATGTCCATGTCTAACACTTCAATGTCCATGTGTAACACTTCAATGTCCATGTCTGATACTTCAATGTCCGTGTCTAACACTTCAATGTCCATGTCTTACACTTCAATGTCAATGTCTTACACTTCAATGTCAATGTCTAACACTTCAATGTCCATGTTTAATACTTCAATGTCCATGTCTAACACTTCAATGTCCATGTCTAACACTTCAATGTCAATGTCTTACACTTCAATGTCCATGTCTAACACTTCAATGTCCATGTCTAACACTTCAATGTCCGTGTCTAACACTTCAATGTCCATGTCTTACACTTCAATGTCAATGTCTTACACTCCAATGTCAATGTCTAACACTTCAATGTCCATGTCTAATACTTCAATGTCCATGTCTAACACTTCAATGTCCATGTCTAACACTTCAATGTCCATGTCTTACACTTCAATGTCAATGTCTAATACTTCAATGTCCATGTCTTACATTCAATGTCCATGTCTAATACTTCAATGTCCATGTCTAACACTTCAATGTCTGTCCATGTCTAACACTTCAATGTCCATGTCTAACACTTCAATGTCCATGTCTAACACTTCAATGTCCATGTCTCATACTTAATTATCTTGCCTCACACATAAATGTCATTTTCTGATGGGCTGAGCGCTCTTCGACCATTTTCAATGTACCCTGCTTACAAGTGAGTGACATTTTCTATGTACCCCTCTGGGAATGCCGAACTCATTTGGTACTTCGTAGTAGTAATTCCTTATCTCGGATAAAATTGAATCACGTAAGGTGTACGGAAATTACCGATGTTTTGCGAATGCAAATCGAGGGGAGATAACTCTTAATTTGTTTTTCATGTCGTCTTGTCATCTGGTACTCCATACTAGATCCCATACCGATTCAAACAGTTCAAAATTACCATTGAGGCGTTCAGTAAAATAAATACGTTGTTCACTGGGCCCTCAGGGCCCATGGGTTGATGTACCCTCGATGTTTCTTTATGTTCCCCTCGCCCTTTGGGCTCAGGGAACATAAACAAACATGGAGGGTACGTCAGCCCATGTCCCCCTCGAGACCATTGAACAAATTATAATGTCCACATTCCTGATAATTAAATGTCCACATGTCTCACACTTAAATGTCAATGTCTCATACAAATGTCCAAAGCTCATATCTAAATGCTTATGTCCCAAACATAAACAGCAATATGTTTCATACTAAATGTCCATAAGTCTCATATATAAATGTCCATCTATCACACCAGGTATAACGAGCAAATACTTTAACCTTGACGCTACCCCATGTCCCTAAAGTTGGTCTATGTATTGAATGTTGATTTTGTAAAAAGACAGACTTACCACATAAAGGACATCTGGAGGAGGTTCCTTCAATGGCTTGTTTGAGGGGGGCACTTGATATACTGCAGCTTTCTTCTCTTCCTCTTTCTCCTTGACTGGCTTAGGCTCATCATACACGCTATCCTCTGTGACCTCCTTCACTTCGGAGCTGTCCACGGTGTCCTTCTTGACCTCTTCCTCCTTGTCTTCCTTTGCAGCTCCCTCTGGTGGCGGTTGTGGGGGCCCGTAATCTGGAACGTCTACAGGCTTGGGTTCGCCATGTCTATCTTCATCAGACTGCTCAGACTGAATATCTCCATTGACCTTGACCTCACCATTGACTGTGACCTCATCACTGACCTTGACCTCTGCTTCGGCCTGAAATCAAACATAATACAGAATATCTCACATGATGTGAAGGAAATTTCCGATGACATTTTGGATTCAATGTGATTCAATGTGATTCTGTTATAAATCCATTAGATTTGTAATCATTGCCCGATGTTTTAATTAAAACCAAAACTGAATCAGCCAGTTGGGAGATTTGTCTTGAGAATTAAACAAATTAACAAAAGATCTCCCCAATGTACATATATAGATATAAAGATAGATAAAATTGTACACTGAGTTTGGTTTCCTTTTAGCAATATTCCAGCAACATCTCGGGGACACCAGAAATAGGAAGAGATTCACTCAGCGTAACGCTTTAACCATATAAACATCTCGGAAGAGATCACTGTAACGTCATATAAAATGCAGGTTTATGATGAGTTTAATATCATTTCACACAAATGAACTACCAGGCAGGGTGGAAATAACCCATTGCCCGATGCCCGAGTCCAGCATTTTTTCTGTCGGGCAAACAAATTTGTATATCACACTGTACCGGTGTCTAGTTGACTTTCCAATGTTGATTATGTTGTGTATTTAAAGAATCAACAAGAAAACGGACGGTATAGTGGAAAAATCATCAGGGCAAGTGATTTTACATGTGCCACTGTACCGGAGTACACTAGCAATTTGAAAGTTATTTCCACCCCTGCCAGGGTTTAACATGACACAGAAATGTGCATCTAATACGTACAAATGTATGGAATGGATGCAGAAAACTACATATATGGTCCACTGGACACTAGTGGTGGTCCGATTAATTGAAATAATCGAAGATTGGTCGCAGTGACTAAACGACCAAGCAATCATGTTTTCTCACAATCGAACACAAACAATCTGGAACACTTTTTGCATTAACAATATTTTCATAAGGTTGGTTTTCTGTGTTACATTTCAAGAGCACTACAAGCTCATTCCAAGTCATGATTGAATTTATCTTAAAGACCCCAAGAAATTTATATTCCTAACATACTAGTCATCCTTTAAAGATGTGCAATTTGCAAAAAAAACCACCAAAGAACTACTTATTTTTTTTCTTTATGTTTATGTGCAAACAAACATAACCAGGAAAATTTGAGAAATGATGCTAACCAATTATTTTCGATGATTCATCAGTTGTAATGAACCTATCATCAATTATGAGATTTTAACCAATTCCCAACACTACTGGACACACAATAATATTCACCGTTCAAAATTGGTGACCAGAAATATAAAGTTGTTGTACTTAAAGTTACTTAAAGTAAATATAAGTTTAGCCCGCTTAGCAATATTACAATATCACGGGGACACCAGAAATGGGCTTAACACACTGTATGTGGGGATTCGAACCCGGTCACTAAACCTTTAACCACAGGCTACCCCAGTCCCCCTTAAAGTACAGACTACATCATTTCATCACTCTACAGGACCTCGTATTTCACTTAAGAACCCTTTAAATTACTATGTAGACATCCTGTGGACCCCTAATTTTTGGTCAAGGTAAAACCCTGATTACAACATGCACGCTCATTTGTGTCTGGCTGCTTGTACCAGTGTTGGCCCACCAAGACACTATGCCACAGATTGACAGGGATACCCAACTCAAGACACATTACACTGTCTGTGAGCTGACCAGTCCATGCTTTATTCCCTGGATGCTGACTGTCAGGCTGGGCAACAACAAGTGTCATGTTTGAACTTCTTTTGGGACGATGTGGCCAAGCAGACTAAAGGCTAAGAGGCTAAGAGGTGAGGTGAGGTGAAATTGGGTTTAACGTCGTGCTTGAGAATATTTCGCTCATATGACGACGTGCATGCATGTGTATGTGCAGCTGCTTGTACTAGCCCAGACTTAAGCTGGTTTTATAGTGCTAGCCCACTGAGATACCATGCCACAGTGAAGCATGAATACCCCACTCACACACATTATACTGACTCCGAGCCGATCAGTCCTTGTCGTATCCATTAATGCCGAGAGCCAGGCAGGGACCAAACAAGTACCATATTTTAACGTCTTTTTGGTATGACGCGGTCGGGGATCAAACCTGCGACCTTCCGCTCTCCGGGTGGACGCTCTAACCACTACACCACGGAGTCGGTCCCTAAAGGCTAAGAACACAGGCAACATGCTACCTGGGAGGTTTCTGTCTCCACTTCCTTCTTCTCCTCTTCTTTCTTCTCCTCCTCTTTCTTCTCCTCCTGTTTCTTCTCCTCCTGTTTCTCCTCCTCCTGCTGCTTCTCCTCCTTCAGCTGCTCGATGACATCCTGATTGCTATAAATGTTGTCTGCAAAAAATGAGGGGTCAGGTTTTAAGCCGCTTTTAGCAATATTCCAGCAATATCACTGAAGGAGACACTAGAAAAGGGCTACTGTGCATGCTGTACCCAGGAAGGGAAACAAACATCAGTCTCTGACATGACTGACTGACTGAGTTTGGTTTTACGCCGCTTTTAGCAATATTCCAGCAACATCACGGCGGGGGACACCAGAAATGGGTTTCACACATTGTACCCATGTGGGGATTCGAACCTGGATCTTTGGCGTGATGAGCCAACGCCTCTGACATGAAGAGTGAACACTTCAACCGCTAGGTTATCCTACCCCAAGAGAACTAGTTCTTTATGTCTGTTTGGTCTTTATATACAATTTCCCTCCTACATGTTTCAGCTTTATCTTCAGTACCTCCTACACTTTTCATCTTCACAAATATATAAATAGTGAACACTTAATAAAACTTGTAATTCTTGAAATACATGTCTTTAACGTCGAAATCATGGAATCACCTGTTATGAGCATAATAAAAATGTGACAACTAAAATCCTTTGCATTGCTAACAGTAATCACTTTATTTGTTACAACAGCCCATGTCATGCTTCATCAAACTCAAATCAGGGTTCGTACAGATTATCAGCAATCACATTTAACTCATTAAGGCCGATAGACGCATATATGGGGCAAATTAATCAGCTCCTCACAGCGAGTGACATGTTTATGGGGCAGGTAATTGGCAGTTTCTCACAGCGAGAGCCACATATATTCGTCAACAGAAAGCACCTCTTATTCAGCGAGAAACGCACATGTGTCGTACTTTTAAAAATCTCACTGTACCTATTATTTCAACCAATTTAGTAGTACTAAGCAAATATTAGCTTTTCTCAAGAGAGATGCTACCTTTAGTGTCAATCAGAAGAAGTATTTAAAGTGTTTTGATAGCAATTGCTAATCATTATCATAGGCTTATACAGCGTTTGGCAAATGAACATGTCAGCGAGAAAGGGGATTATGATGGTTTTACAGAGGTAAGTGTCTGGTACTCTTCGTTGGGAATGGATACTAAAAAACTTCTTATGCACATTGATTGAATCAGACGTAATGGTTTAGAGGTTACTGAAGATCACATTTTCTTCAACTTCCTAATAAATACGAAATTTCAAGGACATACAAAGAATTCAAACACAATAGAATAGTTTGAATTTACTTTTTAGGTATTATTACGTTGTCATGTTTCATATAATGAAACATAATGTATTAACACAAATAATTATACATCCAAGCTCGAATAGATTAGACATAATTTAACTTACTAATTTCAAGCTTACTGAATTGTAACTAGTTATTTTCCATAATCTAAAGTTGATAATGTTACCTAATCAAATATAAAGTGATAAGTCGTGCCTTTGCATCGAATATATATACATGTCAGTGTTATTACAACAATGAAATCATTTACTACGTTTGTTACCAAACACAGTAAGTTGGTAATTTGAAAAATTTCTTAGACATAGACAGAAGTATTGTCATAAGTTATTACATGTAAACCATACAAAGGTATTTGAAGCATTTTTGTTCTCAAGCTGTTTCATGTTGATTTGAATTGTCAGTTTTCTATGCAATTTACATGAGCATTGTGTAAAACATTTGTATTTGATCTCTGTAATTATCAAATCCGATGTAATTATCACATGTATCAATGAATTCCATCTCTATTGATCCTCGTCAATAAAAGCTGGATAGTATATCAGTTACGGTATCGATACACATCGATACACATGCGTATAATCATTCAATCAGATTACAGTAATGAGATAATTGAATGCATGTGTAGTTACGCCCTTGTTTAAAGGTTTGTCCCGTGACAAGTGTAAAATATACAGATGCGATGTTATATCATTGGACAACCTGCTTTATAGAGTCACGCCCCTCTTTGTAATGTTCATGCATGAATGCACATCTGTAATCTTATGAACCTCGTTTACATTCAGTATAAATATAGGCACGCCCATCTTCATAAATATTTGGGGGGAATAAACTGCAAGTTTATACATTATAATAATTCAGTATCGTGTCACTTTTTGAATTCTAAAATACGTGAACTTGGATATTCATTCATATCAAGGTGAAGATTATATTTACATGTACAGCAAACCATTATGTTTTATGTACTAGCTGTGTGTCACAGATCGTTACGACTATGTATGTTTACAATACCCAAACTGTTACATGATAGCTTGCATTGATAAAGCTGAAACCCAGCATATCGACTTGTCAACGGTATAGCCAATAATCAACGTCTATCCAGCTGTTGAGTGACCAAACGTGGTCTTCAGAAATTTCGCCCACGCCCCATCACCTGTCCCTTCCTCTGTGACACATATCTCATGATACGATTGGTCATAGACAACAAATGATCAGCCACTATATTGAACAATTGAGATACCGCACATTCTATTGGGGAAATTTGATGACGCCCTATCACGTGACTCTTTGTTTTATGTCTATACAAGGAATCTGTATTATACAATTTTTATATGTATGTTCGTATGATAACATATGTTTTTGCAATAAATCTAGATGAAACAAAGTTATGAATGTGCTCTTTGTTAGTAACAGACTAGCATAATAGTACTTTCCTTGAAATATTCAGTATAATCTAGAAATGTATCTGCAAAAACGCTAATATCGCAGAAGATTATAAAGCCTGTATGTAAATTACAGTATGTCATTGTCATAGATGTTTTGTAAAATTAAACCTCATACAAGGATATAAGAGAAAGAATTTGTTTATGTATGTCTCATCTCTTACATACAAAGAATACATGTCATACATATGTTGATAAAATATAAATGTACAAGCCGCCAAAGGTCTACAAGAGAAACTTGCAATAAAATTACATAAAACGTTGCAATACATGATATGTATTCACACCTGCTGTCTTTTAACTTGTATCTTTATGACACAATTAAACAATCAGAGCTTGTTTGTACGACTACACAGTTTCCTGTCATCCCCGAAACCTGCCAGGGAAATCAGGTGTGAACAGCACTAATTAGCACGCAACAGCGAGCCGGGCAATCAGCGAGGGGTTCCAGGTGTTGAGTAGTGAAGTGTCTCTCGAGCTTAATGAGTTAAGGCCTTTTTAGGGGCTTTTCAAGACCCAATGAACAATTTTAAGGAACAATTTTAAGGAACTATAAAAACACATATAACATAAAGTAGGTGATACACACAAGGTTTGTTAAATGTAAGATCGACAATCAAAAGGAAATAACCTTTAGCTATATCACTGCATTGGGAAACTGTTTCTTCGCGATGGAGATTAATCAACACCGACTGTCATTGCAGGGTACTTTTATTGTGTATTAGTTTTCTGTAAAATCATAACTTGACAAGTTTTGCTAAATATTGGGCCTTTTTAGGGCAAATCACAGGCAATTATGGCCTTTTCAATGCTAAAACAAAATTAGGGCCTTTTGATGGTAAAATGTCCAAATGTCATGCTTTTTCAAGCTCCTGCAAACCATGCAAATTGTCCACACTTCTGACTACAGCTTGTTCAGTATGACCTCATCAAGTGAATACTAATGCATTGCGTGACCGTGTCACAACTGGTTGAGTCTGTTATTGTGAAGGGATGCATCTTTGTAAGTTGATTGTCAACATGTCCGAACAGCCGAGACAAGGTTGCAGTTTGACATTTCAGTGTCGAGAAATCATCAGCAATGTCCTAACTTTCTTTAAAAAAGAAGCTACAGATGGTTTAATGTTTCCGATTCAGGCTTTTAGTCAGGGAGCAACATTAATAACATTTTCTGCTCCCCTACTTAATGAAGTTAACTCGACCTGCAGTTTGTGCCATTTGACCTCCCGGGTCATGCATATGTAGAGTAGCTCAGGTCAAGCTGAACACACTGTAATTTTCTATCATGAAGAATCATGGCAGTCAAGGGGAGATAATTCACAAGTTGTCTCCCTTTACCCACATTTCATACTTCATCACACACTATCAAAATTACTTCCTAGCAATGAACTTCCACTGAGCATTGTCACAGCAACATATAATTACAAAGAAAGGATATTTCTAAGACGGTTACCTTGAGTGCTTCCATCATCATCCTCAACATGGTCTCCATTCTGCTTGGCAGGTGTGTTGGTGGCGCTCAGAGGGGAAACCCTGGGACAGGTTCATTCCTGTCACCTCATCTGGATGGTGCTGTCCATTCTCTACTGGGGCCTCATCAAAACTGGACAAACAACAAAAATACTGATTCCTGGATCTGCAGATTTAATGCAACAGGCAAGGGCTTTGTTCAATAAAGTGATCTTGGCACAAAGATTAGTAAGGCTGAAGGGGTCGTTGTTGGCACTGGTACTACAGATGTGTACAAATGTAAACAATAAATAATAAATAACTATGGACGACACATGGCCCATCTCAGATCCACATTTGGTTCAAAATTCAACTTACATAGAGAATGCTACACAAGGTCTGATTACATACGAATTATACGAAACGAGTGTCCTTCCTATGGTATCTGACCAAGCGAAAGCGAGGTCAGATAACATAGGAAGGTCACGAGTTTCGTATAATTCGTATTTAACGAGACCAAGTGTGGTATTTTATTTATTACCCACGTCTTACATGCATTAAATTGACATAATAGAGTATATTTGTTATTTTTATGGCTTCAAACCTGAAACTGGTTTCATAAAGAGGTTGTGGAAGAGTTTTGTACTGTAGTACAATATTTGTATGACGTCACACTGTTAATGATGTCACTGCCTTGGTAACCGACGTCACGATGCATGTCAGTTGTCATCGCCTCGTACAGCCTCCTACAGTAAACTACTCCGTAGCACCTCGTCTCTTAGTTTGCAGTTGTTTCATTTGGCTAACATCACTGGTGGATCATTGTGTTTATGTTTTTCGACGGATATAATGTCTCAGTTTGACTCACAATTAAACAGCAGCACGACAACGTTCACAATGTTTACATTCCCACAATGCATTTAAGTTGTAGAATGAATGAATTCACGTGTTTGTTATGAATGAAAAAATAGTTACGTCAGAATGTGACCTAATTGAGAGGTCATCGGTTATCCAATCAAATCGTTAGAATCTTAGGTCAAGTCGTTACGACACAGGTCAACGCGATACGACACTCGTGTGACGTACGAGATTAGTATGCAACTACCCATACGTTGACCAAGTGGGTAATAAAGGTCAAATCTACAGGTAACATACCTCTACTCTGAAAACATGTGACGTTAAATAATAACTCATTCACTCACTCACTACTCTGAAAACAGAGTGTGTTTATGTCCTAGTTGTTACCACTCAATCTTGATTAGTCAGCTCTTAAGACAATAATGGAATCAAAGATTTACAGCTGACAACAGAACCAAGGCTTTAATGTTAAGCCTATATTTTTTCTTTGAATGAAATATTAAAACATAAGAAAAAGAACTTAAATGAAAATCAAACTTCAGATAAAAGATATATTTTTTTCCAAGTTTGTCCTCCAAGGTTACTTAGTTCAAAATATGTTTCTCCCCACGAAGTGCACATTGTCAGACTGTCCCAGATGGGTATGTTTGCTGTTTGCTCCCAGAATATTCCATGTATGTGATGGTAATCTGGACCAGATAATCCAGTGATTGGCCCAATGAGCATCGATAAATGTTGTTGTTGTACACTGACATGCCATCACTCAAGTCTGCGAGGATGACCACACAATTAATTTAGCAGATTCCTGTTTCCAGAAAGCGCCATGGGTTTGTCTAAAAGTAAATTAACAGTGAACATGTCTCACCCATCCGAGAGGGACTTGCTGAGCGGCCTCTTTGGTTTATATACAAACTGTGCAAAATCTTTGGACAACTGTGTATTGATGTCGTTTGCATCTTCAGAAACCTGTAACAAATAAAGACATCAGTTAAGTTCAAATTTGTACCTGAAATTTTTCTTTTTAAAATCCAGATTTCGTTTAATACTTTGTGACATTTTAATTGTTACCATTGAAACAGCACCTGTTTGACATTATCATTAAGCATGCATCGTTTTTAATACACCCTAATAAAACTAATCCACAAAACCTTACAAGAATTAATCATCACCATTCACAATGGTTTTCTAGATCTGGTTCCTACAACTCTTGCTTTTGGTTTTTGCCACAGCTGACAATACTATTCAAAACAAGTTAAGGAAATCCAGCCATAGGAGATTATATACAGACATATATTTAAAAATGGCTGTTCTTGGCTTTTAGGTATCAGAGAAACCTTAATATCATTGACATTACAAATCAGTCGTCAGTGATATTGGTGTATGTCGACAAGATGCCAAGTCGCCATGTGTCATCCCATAATCCAACTTGTCGCCTTTCACAACAAGCAATGGAGATTTGGGGATCTCTTATAATAGAAGATCCTTTAGGGGTACTTAATCTGAATCAGTGAATTATGTATAAACTAGTGAGTATATTTGATGGCATATGCGTAAACAAGTTCAAAAAAGAAATAATCACACTCATAATCAATTGAAAAATAAATCATGGCAAAATACCAAAAATATTATTAAATAAATATATTTTTAAGAAAGAAAAATACATGACCAATGAATCATGACATGTCAAATAAGTAGAGTAAGTTAGATTTTTGGCTTCAGTCATTTATGACAAGAGCTATGAATATCAGAAATATGGTGAAAGAAATGTGTACAAATCAGATGACAAAAGAGGCAAGGGAAGTCATGTAACCATGGTAACTGATATGACAGTGAAGAAACACAAAAGTAATTGCAATAGCATACAATTTGTGTTTGACAACTCACAAGTGCAAGTGTATATAGAACTCACATTACGTCTTAGACAGACATATTAGTTACTGTGCATAGACCTACATGGTTCACCATTTTCAGAACTTAAATCTTCAGTGTATGTACTTTGGAAACATATCAACATTAGAATAGTGAAAAGCTGAACTCAACAATGAATTATGGTATTTAAGAATAAAGTAAAATTCAGAAATATAAGTAAAATTAAGAAATATCATAAAATTATGTATTTCTTAGATAATCTGAATATTAAAAATTTAAAGAATAAAAAAGTGTAAAATGAAATAGAATTGGGAATAAAGTAAAATTCAGAAATATAAGTAAAATTAAGAAATATCATAAAATTACGTATTTCTTAGATAATCTGAATATTAAAAATTTAAAGAATAAAAAAGTGTAAAATGAAATCGAATTGGGAGACAGAGAATTAACAAAAATGTATAACTTCTTTAAATTACTATATTACAACAATAAAATGGCATTTGTTTAAACTCTTGTTATTACTCTTACTAGAATCTTTAATGGCTAAAGAAATGCTTTTATTATACTTTTATTAATCTTGATCCAGCTACAGGTTCCTAAGTATTATTCCTATTCTCTAACTCAATTTAAAACGTCCATAAAAGTCAAATCAGATACCTCTCTGCATGAAGATGTGACGTTCAATCAATACCCTGAGAAAGGAGGATGTGTGTGCACTTGAGCCAATATTATGTCACCTCACATTTGTGCCACCTCATTTGAAAATCTCATTTTAACAAAAGAAAACCCTTTTCTATATACAGTTCTCTTTTTTGGTTGTGCTTGCCATGGTGCTCAGAAACAATAAAGCATATACAATATCTGCAATATAATGATGCAGCCTTTATTATTTACATTCAGAACTTGCCGTTTGAGTTTGTTTTCCATGTAAGGAAATCAATACATACTTCTATAAATGTTTAACTTACAAAAATAATTAGAGGCCTTGATGCCATTTTGCTGATTAGAAATTCACCTATGGAGTGGAGGTGAGATGTTCATGCAAAAGAAAAATCAATTGGGGAAAAGATTTAATTTAAGAGATTGTAAAAATCCAAGGTCAAAATGATTTCACTTCGGTATTATCAGTCAGTTCGGCACAATACGATCAGCAATACATCGAGTACAAAAGCAGAGAAATAGATGACAAATAGCAAAAGTGAAGTCATGTGAATAAAAATTGAACAAATGAAATTGAAAATGTCAAATATACATACGAAACATTGCTTCTAAAACAACACAAACCACAATATCTAATTTACTACAAGATGCAAACCACAAAGAAATATTTCAACTTACAAGTAATTCTACTAGAAAAAGGAAAAACTGTAGATGCGTCCAATCCAAGAGTGATGAAAAGAAAAATGGAGTGTTCACGTGATAATGTCTCAAATATTGGCACAATGTAGTATTTGGTATTCATCATCCAAGCATTATAGAATATATCCCACAAGATGACACACAAAAGCCAGTCAAAATTCATCTAAAATCCATTAGTCCAATGATGAACGTGTTCATCCTTCCATCAAACACAAAAAAGATCCATTTTCTTTTTGTGTTGATGCTTAACACAAGTCCATGCAGATGGAAGTCCAGAAATATAATTGTGACAATTTTTTTAAATAGGAATTGGTGCATAAAATATAAGAAACATGTGATTGACATATATTAATTATGTTACCTGTGCAAGTGGTAAACGTAGTGAAATGTATGTGATCGATTATAAGTTTCACAACACCTAAACACGCTTATTTCCAAAAGCATTGCAATGTGAATTACTTCAAGGTACTTTACATGAAATGTAAATTCTGACTAATGAAAAATGAAAAGTATTTTCAAAAACATTATCATCCATCTATTGTCTCAGTAATCCACAAACAGTAATATCATTTTATAACTTATTAATTTAAATGTTAAATTGGTCAAATATGTTCAGATGCCAATCATTATGCTCATTACTTCGAATATCTTACACTTAACAAATTAAAGAAGTGTCGAACTATCAAAAACTGAAAAAATATCGACATGCTTTTACTTTCTACGAATGATTACCAGAAGTATCTAAAGAATGAATGGCTACTACTCTACAAAATGTCAACAATTTTATTCCTCAAGGAAACCAGTCTGCATGGACGTGTCCCTTGTTAGATGAAAGGACGGATCTGGAACTAGAGTAGTCCGGAGTTCGTAGATGGTTCCATCGGGCAGGATGGCTCGCTCAAGCTTCTGAACAGCAGCAACGCCTTGTGGGACGTTTGGAACCTCACGACTTGATCCCTTGGCCCTCTGACTGATCTGGTGCAGAGTCTTCAGATGTTCCGAAAGCAGGAACTCAGATGGTGCCCCGAGAAAACGGATACGTGGATCACTGGAAAGCCTACTGTCTCCTCCTTCTGCAAACATTGGCTGACCTTCGACATCAATCTCATGGATGTTTGCGTGTCTCGGTCCAAACATGCTTCCATATTCCTGTTCAGAGCCAGCTTGCCGTCTGCTATAATGGGCATGCTGTATATCCTGACATTGGGAGCACTCTATAATGGGGCTGTTTTCTATCGTAATAGAAGGTACCGTAATCTTCAGCTCTACAGTGTTCACTTCATTTCTTAGGATCTCTCTTCTCATTCGTTCGTCATATTCCGATCTTTCTTTCTTCTGCCCTTGTCCATATTCTGCTTTGTCTTCCACGATCCTTTCATCGTTTGGTCTTCCTGTCTCCCACTCCTCTTCATCATAATCTTCAGGACTTGTCTGCAGCTGTAAAGTCGATTCCGTATCATTCATTCTAGAACCATAGTAGTCTTCTGAACCTGCATCAGACATGCCTGAATCCAGAGTCAAGTTCCGGGCTGAGCTGGCTTTCCTTTGCTCAATCATTTTTGACCTTGGATCCAAGGAACTAGTTCCACGTCTGTGGCCAACAGGAGTGTTGGGAAGAGTTATGCGCCCTGGCAACTTCTTCCGTGCAGGTCGTACGGGATGTTGGGAAAATGAATCTTTGAATACATTGTATTTCAGTCGTATTCTATCATCTGCTTTAAGGAAATTTCCAATCTGGCAAGCATTACATAACAATATTGGCATAACCTGTGGAGGAAAAATGTGATTACATGAAGAGGATTTACATCAGAAGCATTGTCAGTACATCACAGGTTTGCCTACACTATGGTCCACCATTGCAAGGCCAGAGGCCTTGTACAACTCAAACTATCCCCAATATGAACATGAACAAATACATCAACAGTGATACTAAGGCAGTGTCTAGCGTACAGGGGCGGTGGGGTAGCCTAGTGGTTAAAGTGTTCGCCTGCCATGCTGAAGATCCGGATTCGATTCCCCAGATGGATACAATGTGGGAAGCCCATTTCTGGTGATATTGCTGGAATATTACTAAAAGCAGCATAAAACTAAACTCACTCACTCACTCTAGCACACAGGCCACAAGGCTATGGAAACCTACACTGGAAATGTTTAATTTGAGTGGAAACAATGATTCCATTTAAATTGAAACAGTGCCCTTGTGAGATGGGGAGTCAGAGCCTGTGGAAAATCTGGACTTTCATTTGAGGTGATGGCGCATTACAATAAGCGACAGAAGGGGAAATAATGTGGATCAGGGACCGTGAGATAAACTGAAACTAACTAGTTTCTACTTAATTGGCATACGACGTTGTCTAGGAGTGAATGTATATTATTTTAGTACACACCGTTATAAAGATATTACAAGTAGATAGGGGTGGGCAAAATAACCGGTTTACCGTTATTTACTGGTTCAGACATGAAAATGATACATATTGCGATATGCTAATCGAAAACCGGTATTTTGACTTGCATTCGGAAAACTTCGTAACACTCTGAAATCTTCGGATATTTCCTTGTTTCATTTGTGCCAAATATTATTTACATTTTTATTTTGTCATGATTAAAAGTTTTTATTAAAGCTTAATCAAGCATAGTGATTTTGTTGTGTTCATGGTTTATAAATCACTTGCAACATATTGCAATACATATCGCAATATATGCTTTCGCATCGCAATATGAACATTCTCTGCAATACCCGTCCCTACAAGTAGACATGTTGCAGAGGAACCCTGCCAATATAAACTGAGCAATCACTGGTCTTAACAACTGAGTTCCTTAAAAATAACGACAACAGCTCGAAGCAATCATATGAATTCACAGACAATAGAGGAAGGTAGTGTATACAAACCCATCAAGTATTGACGATGCAAAAGAAAAATGTCATCTTGAGAATGCCATGAACTTTATAACATGCATATTACTGGTCAGGCTAAGAGTATTTCTTCCATCTATTATTTACGTTCTAAGTTCTGTAATGTTGGCGAAACCTTGTCAAAGTGAAGTTAGGAAAATTAGTGAAATTAGCAAACAGTAACCGGCTTAACAGAATACCAAACCATAATTCACATTGATGATGCAGTTACAACAGTGTACATGAATCTAATGTCTGTTTGCAGTGAAAACGTACCGATGAATTTCACTTTAAACAAATATGTAAATCAAAAAGAGTGAAATTGAGATTGAGAATCCTCATAATTTTACCTTGCCAATTGATCATTTAAAACTCAGAATTTTATTCAACTAAAGATAAAAGTGGTTTAACAAACGATCATAGTTTCAAATCGCTATTATTGGTTTGTATTACAAGGGGGTATGAACATTAAATGAAACACCGAGAACAAGTAGGGTTGGTCTAAGTTAACGCTCATCACGTACCGCACGTGCATTTGTTTCACTGTTCCAACTACTGCGCTTACCCCCCTGTAATACAAACCAATAATAGCCATTTGAATCTATGATCGTTTGTTAAACAACTTTTATCCTAAGTTGAATCAAAATCTGAGACTTAAATGTTCAATTGGCAAGGTAAAATTATGAGGATTCGCAATCTTGATTTCACTTTATTCGATTTACTATTTTGTGTGAAGTGAAATTCATCAATACGTTTTCACTACAAACAGACTATAATGCTTATGGTTTCCATTAAACATCCAAAAATGTTATTAGTCCTTGGCCAAATGCTAGTCCCCATCTTTTAGGATCTCTCAGCAGCAGTAGAAGTGTTATCCAGTAATTAGCATGACACCTCCCACCCTCCAGAAATTCTTGTTGATATGGAACTAGCCACAGACTGTATCAGGCTACTAAAAACAACAAGGTTAACCCCACTGTTGAAACATGTCCATAGACCAACTGCATGAGTATTAACCACATGGTCTAATGGACGGTGACAAGCAGTGGTGTTCAACATGGTCAAGATATGCAGTATGGATGATAAGGCTAGGTGTATCATATTACCTGACTTTGGTGCTGTCTCTACATTTGGCCTGGGAGTATGATTGCATACATGACTAACAATTAGTGTATCAGCGCGTCACAATCTTACTTTGGATCAGAACCATCTTTCTACTAGGTGAGGAGAGGTAAAATTGAGTTAACGTCGTGCTTGAGAATATTTCGCTCATATGACGACGTGCATGCGTGTAGTGTATGTGCGGCTGCTTGTACTAGGCCAGACTTAAGCTGGTTTTATAGTGCTAGCCTACTGAGATACCATGCCGCAGTGAAGCATGAATACCCCACTCAGACACATTATACTGACTCCGAGCCGACCAGTCCTTGTTGTACCCATTAATGCCGAGCGCCAGGCAGGGACCAACAAGTACCATATTTTAACGTCTTTTGGTATGACGCGGTCGGGGATCGAACCCGCGACCTTCCGCTCTCCGTGTGGACGCTCTAACCATTACACCACGGAGGCGGTCCTCTGGATCAGAACCATCTTTCTACTAAAGGTAATTAGTGTTAACTATCTTCTCTATCTCATATATCACTCTGATGGCTGCGTTATGTTGTATGTGTCTGTGTCATGTCTGAATCATATCTGAATTCTGTCTGTGTCTGTGTCCAGTTGCCACATTGGTTTCCTGTGTCCTGGTCGTGAATGTCAGGTGTTTACTGGTAGGTGAAGTTCATATAAAATTCTAGACAAACTTAGTTATTGTATTTATTGTGTACATAAACAGCTTTGTTGGTTCATCATCAGTGTAAGCTGATGGTAGACAGACCATAAGCGGATTGATACGTCCGATCTACCTACTGACCAAGACACACACCTCAAACATCAATACTGGTCCAGAGAAATATAACTTACCCTGGCAATTTCGTGGTGGAAAATATTTTCAGCTCCGAACAGATTCTGGTACATATCGCCATAGAATGTGACTCGGCTGGAGTAGAAAACACAAAAATGAGCATTCTTTGAATATGAATGTAATTAGTCATTGTTTAATTAATGATGCATTATCATGATTATATAGAAAAATGTACATCGCTTATGAAAGTCAACAAATCTTTAAACAATCCTGAGAATGGGTGACTCAGCACAGACATGTACCCCTCAGCCTGCCAGGACTGTTTTTAGATTCAATTCCCAATATGATTTTCGGTTGGCTAGAACCATTCACAGATTTAAGGATTCATCAGAACAGTATAAGTTTTGGACAAAGGTGTTGTTTAGCTTTCTACCTGTATTCAGCTTCCAGTCTCTATATAATCTACCTTGGCAATACCCCCTTGAAGAGCAGGAATGGGATTAGTCTTCAGGAAAGTATGTTTGTCACAAATGCGGATCAGGCCACAAACAGGGGGATCAGCTGGTCAGGCTTGGTGACTTTGTTGATGCAGATAATTACAGCCCATTTGCGTTGACTGATGGTAATGATATCAATCACTGGATTGTCTGGTCCAGACATTATTTACAGACCACTACTGACTGACTGAACTGAGTTTCGTTTTACGCCGCTTTTAGCAATATTCCAGCAACATCACGGTGGGGACACCAGAAATGGGCTTCACACATTGTACCCATGTGGGGATTCAAACCCGGGTCTTCGGAGTGACGAGCCAACACTTTAACCACTAGGCTACCCCACCGCCCCCTACAGACCACTAGGATTTCATTTTACATTCATATAACTCACTTTGTAAGTACTTCAAAGAACAGTTTACAAACATTACAATGATTTTTTTGTTTGTTGTTTAACGCTTCCCTCAGCAGTATTCCACCTCATGACAGTGGTCTGTAAATAATCAAGTCTGGACCAGACAATCCACTGCATCGATCTACACAACGGCAATATGATGACATGTGTCAACAAGCTTGACTACCAAGTCCCATTAATCTCCCCTTACAACAAGCATGGGTTAGAGATTTTCACGGGTACATTACGATGATCAGTCATGTTACCTGTTGTAGAAATCTGGCAATTCTGAGTGCAGGTCATTGTTGAGATCTTCATAGATCTTCTTGGCTTCATTTAGCTCCTCTTGGGCCTGAAGATCGAAGAAAAATCTCAGATAGAACAATACACTTCAACTATTCCATATCTGTTTCAAATATCCATCTGATTAATCACAATATTGTCAAGACCAGTGCGGTAAACTGTGCCCTATACTCAAGAAAATATTTTCATTCTTAAAATGGGTGCTTATAGGGATTATTACTTGCTGAAAACTGTAGCAATGTGTAAGAGGTGAGGTGAGGTGAAATTGGGTTTAACATGGTACTTGAGAATATTTCGCTCATATGACGACGTGCATGCGCATGTATGTGTATGTACGGCTGCTTGTACTAGCCCAGACTGAAGCTGGTTTTATAGTGCTAGCCCACTGAGATACCATGCCGCAGTGAAGCATGAATACCCCACTCAGACACATTATACTGACTCCGAGCCGACCAGTCCTTGTTGTACCCATTAATGCCGAGCGCCAGGCAGGGACCAACAAGTGCCACATTTTAACGTCTTTTGGTATGACGCGGTCAGGGATCGAACCCACGACCTTCCGCTCTCCAATGTGTAAGAGGATACTCAAAATATAGAATATGGTACATGTAATTTTGTGCGCAAATATGATACGTTTACAGTTACACTTCAAAAGAACAGAAGGTGAACATTTCCTCTGACAATAAAGACTTACATTTTTCCATTAGAAATGATAACAACATACAGATATCATTTTAAGAATGCAGTTTGTTCTAAGATAAATCTGCCATTTCCAAAACAAAATGTAGAAAATTCTACCGATCATCAATAATCACAAACTTTTTAAGGTATTATCGAAACAAAAACAAGGACATCTTCTTTGACCAACAAATGTTTGTAAGGTTTTGGAGGTAAGACAAGTCTTTATGTAGATAATATTTTACAACTCTCTATAGGGAAGACCTAATGTGTGAAGAGTTGTCTCCCCTACCTTGAGTATCTTGCCATCATCCCTCTTCTTGGCGTTCTGTAAGACTTCCAGGTTATGTCGGGCATTGTCGTAGTCAACCTGCTTCCTTCCACGCTTCGACACACGGGCCTGTTGAAAGAAGAGATGTGATGTACATATAGCTACCATACGGAAGTGAGTGAGTGAGTGAGTGAGTGAGTGAGTGAGTGAGTGAGTGAGTGAGTGAGTGAGTGAGTGAGTGAGTGAGTGAGTGAGTGAGTGAGTGAGTGAGTGAGTGAGTGAGTGAGTGAGTGAGTGAGTGAGTGAGTGAGTGAGTGAGTGAGTGAGTTTAGTTTTACGCCACACTCAGCAATATTCCAGCTATATGGCTGCGGTCTGTAAATAATCGAGTCTGGGCCAGACAATCCAGTGATCAACAGCATAAGCATCGTTCTGCGCAATTGGGAACCGATGAAATGTGTCAACCAAGCCAGCAAGCCTGACCACCCGATCCCGTTAGTCGCCTCTTCCGACAAGCATGGGTTACTGAAGGTTGGTTCTAACCCGGACCTTCACGGGTTTACAGCTGTGGAAGGTCAGATACAAGTGCTGCACAAGTTCAACACTTAAGTCTGACAGCATAGGCAAGGTGCTGACAAACATAGACACAATCATTTTGAAGTGGTCCACCATCTGATCATATCGATTTTAGATTATGTTTAATTGAAAAAATTCATAAATTGAGTCGTATATAGCAATCAGCAGATGTGATAGACTAATGCTTAGTCTCTGAATATATATAATTTTGATAGTAACAAATAAACCCATTTAAATTGAAAAGGAGCCCCAGGGAGACCAGAGATTCAGAACCTTGGGAAATCTAGACTTGCTTCATGTAGGGCTTTAGCATTGCAGGGAGGGCTAGGATGTAATAGGATGAAAATAATGTGCTTCAGGGACTGAGACAGACTATTAATGTGAGGTTGGCTAAAGTCCACCTTGAACAATATGTGTCCTTCTTGTTTGAGTAAAGTGATGTAGATCTTGTATGTTTTCTACTTCAGTGAAACCCAAGGCCAGTGTTAGTGCTAACAAAAATATTATTATAATCTGGGCGAACCTGGATTTGACCAATTGACCCTAGGTTTCGGACCTGCCCAATTGATACAGCCCTCCACAGAGTAATTGTGCTGCCTCAGACAACAGAGCTAATGTCTTAAAGCATTTTGGGACTTATAATTCCAGCAAAAGTAAGTGAGGACACAGATAGAAAGAGAATTAGGCCCACCTTGAGAGTTGGGAAGGAGAGGAGATATGTATTCATTGGCTCCAGGGATCGCTCGTGTAGCTTCTGTAGGTAGTCCGTCCATAGCAGATCTAAAGACTGGAATCAGAGATGTTCAGTATACAATTTACAATTTATACATATACAATTTATCAGTACAACATATCTCATGCCTTGTTCGTGACAATTTACCTGATTTATCAACAAAACATATTTATTGCCAGATAATGATTCAAAAGTAGTATTATCTTATAAGAAAGTAAGATTGTTAATGGATAACAACTTCTTTTATTATATATGATGCGACGTTTGGGTATGGATTCTTATACCGTTGTCAAGCAAAAGTGAAGTACTACAGCACAGAACAAACTTATATACATGAACAGGGATTAAGTAATAACAACATGTAGGTATGAATCAAGGGGATTAACAACAACAACAACGCACGGTGGTAATAATGTAGTGACAATAGGAGGAAGCCAATGGTCCTAGAGGCAGAAACAAAATGACAACGGTATAAGAATCCATACCGAAACGTTGCATCATATATAATAAAAGAAGTTGTTGTCCATAAACAATCTTACTTTCTTATTAGTCGCCAATTTCTAAATGCCAATCAAACAGATCAGGATTATCTTAATAAGCATGATGCAAACACTTTCAGCATCAGTGAATCAGGTGTTAGTGAGTGAGTGAGTGAGTGAGTTTTACGCCGCACTCCGCAATATCCCAGCTATATGGCGTCGGTCTGAAAATAATCGAGTCTGGACCAGACAATTCAGTGATCAACAGCATGAGCATCGATCTGCGCAATTGGGAACCGGTGACATGTGTCAACCAAGTCAGCGAAACTGACCACCCGATCCCGTTAGTCGCCTCTTACAACAAGCATAGTAAACTTTTATGGCAAGGACATGAGTTGCTGAAGACCTATTCTATCCCGGATCTTCACGGGTCTTATCAGGTGTTAGTACCTATACCACAAGGGTGTATCATATCCATAGTTTTGGCAGGTCATTATTCCTTGTAATCATGCTGACTCATGTGACAATACAGAAATTGGATGATACAATTCAGACGAGAGGGGAGCAAGTTCAATGGTTTATCTTCATTGTGTAAAGCTAATTGCTTCAGTCACTCAAAGCTGATATTACTGTCTGCAAATTTGACATTTGTGACTTTTCCTATGAGAATTGTGATCATGTGTCTATTTATCATGATTCTTTAAACACTTCATGCAAACATCCTTCCAGTTGTCCTTGAATATCAAAAGTGTGAACCTGTGTAATTGTCAGATTGGTGCAACATGCTTTAGCTATTAAGTGAATCATAATTTCTATTTTGGCTTCTGGCAAGCCACTTTTGTGTAATATGTATCGGAATTTCGAGGCCATATATAATTATGGGTAACGTGCGGTGAAATTGGGTTTTACGTCGTGCTTGAGAATATTTCGCTCATATGACGACGTGCATGCATGTGTATGTGTATGTGCAGCTGCTTGTACTAGCCCAGACTGAAGCTGGTTTTATAGTGCTAGCTCACTGAGATACCATGCCGCAGTGAAGCATGAATACCCCACTCAGACACATTATACTGACTCCGAGCCGACCAGTCGTTGTTGTACCCATTAATGCCGAGCGCCAGGCAGGGACCAACAAGTACCATATTTTAACGTCTTTTGGTATGACGCGGTCGGGGATCGAACCCGCGACCTTCTGCTCTCCGGGCGGACGCTCTAACCACTACACCACGGAGGCGGCCTGTCTTGTGGAGCTAGTCCACTGACTGATGGTGACTGTATGATGGAAGATATCAAACAAGAAATATTCAATATTACCTCAGGTCAGAATCACTTTCAGCATCACCACAAGTTAGAAATGAGTACATTTTTCAAGCTTCTGTCCTTAGTTTTGTAACAACATCAAACATCTCTCTATCCGTAAGAAAGCTTGAGTGGTATATAATCACGGTTTTATTTTCCTGAATTATTCACAAGCAATCTTACCTGAACTTTCTCCTTGAACTCTGATTCTCTTGTCCAACCGGGTTCATAACTCTCAGAAACTGAAGCGTAGAAGGATCTGCTTGCTAGGGATAAAGCTAAAACAGAAAATATATACTTGAAAACTCAAATCCATATGCATGCAAAAGAACATTCTATGTTCCTAGAATCCTGCATGAATCCCAGAAAATGGAACTTGAAGTCAGATACAAAGAACTCTATAGTGCGTTTGGCTCAAAAGCGGACCGATGAATTGCAATCTAACTCGAAAACTAGTAAACATATAATAATCAATGAAACGCTGATCATAATCAAAACATCAGACCAACTCTGTGATTTGTTTGCAGAATTAATGTCCTAAAATTAAAAAAGTTGTTTAACAAACTATCATTAAAATATTGACACAGTTCACTATTTGTTACGAGGGAGGAGTGCAGAGGAAAGGACAGCCAGGTGTTAGAGAAGCACGTGCACAAGTGCCGACAAAGTTATTGATTCATTAACCTGTGCTGTGCCGTCACTCTCCTTTCTCACACACCTGGCTGTCCCTTTCTCTGCACTCATCCCTCGTAACAAATAGTGAACTAAATCAATATTTTAATGATAGTTTGTTAAACAACTAAACAGAGTTGGTCTGAGGTTTTGATTATGATCATTGTTTCATGGAGTATTTTATGTTTATTAGTTTTCGAGTTAGATTGCAATTCATCGGTCCGCTTTTGAGCCAAACGGACTATAATAATGGATCCCCAAAAACATTCTGAATACATCCAGGATAATAAAATAAGTGCCCTGGTAGGCAAATTGTGGAAAATAGTTATAAATTTAATAAATTCAGTGTTATTTTAACAGGGTATTCTGAGAATATGGTATTCAAACACAAGGGTTCCTTTAATTATTTCCAGATTTTCACCCACAGAGCACTACAAAGCATGCAAACAAACCTGGAAAAGAATATAGAAACACTTGTATCCTCATGTGTTCCCTTATTCGTTTCCACTGGCATATGTCCAAATAAATTAACTGATTTAATTTTAATGATTAATTTTTATTTTATTTTGGTATTTATTAATGACACTTGCTGCAGACATATGTTTAGCTGTTCCAATGTCACACAAAGTGCTGGCAACACAATATAATGCAAGCTGCTATATTTTACAAATATCCAGCTATTGTTCAGGCTAATATTTCCCAGGTAAATATACCTTTGTGTAATTCTAATTATGCCCTGAAATCGATCATGTCTGTTTTACTCTTTAGTATGAATATCTCATAATAGTTGTCATGCAGTCAAGCTTAAATGATAGACTGGGTCTATCGGAAAGTGAAATGTGCCAGAATAATGTCTTCACGAGAAACATGTGATGAAGAAGCAAGCATACACTCCATTGGGTTATTCACAATAAAGAAGTTGACATCAATAAATCTTGCTTTTCTTAAAGACTGACTGACTGAGTTTGGTTTTACGCCGCTTTTAGCAATATTCCAGTAACATCACAGCGGGGGACACCAGAAATGGGCTTCACACATTGTGCCCATGTGGGGATTCGAACCCGGGTCTTGGGCATGACGAGCCAACGCTTTAACCATTAGGCTACCCCACCGCCCCTTTTCCTAAAGATGTGATTTTGACGAAGTAAGGGGTGTTTCGCAACCTGTTAATGTACCAGAGTGATTTCCGAAGTAAGTAACCTGTTAATGTCGGAAACCCCTCTGGTGCATTTTCTCGACTAAAACCTCCCGAACACCTCCTGTTTTACTGTCATGTTATCAGCTACTCTTGGTCTCTCCTAGACTTTGATTATCTACACTGATCAACCAGAGGCCCAGATAAGCTGCGTATCTGGGTAAAATACGCATATAAAATTTCCAATTACGCATTGAAAAATAGTTGTTGCGTACCAATTACACATCTAAAATGTTAGATATGCAAAAAATTTAAAACAAATGTGTACGGAATATATTTATAAAAATCACTTGCGTAATGAAAAAGACATTGATTGCTATCAAGTTGTACTGTTAGTATAGGACAAGTGTTGTACTGTCAGTATAGGATGAGTGATTTTTTATGAAATCATTTCCATTATATTTAAATTGGTTTTGATTAGGTATGACAGAAGGCAGAACATACCTGCTTAGTAAACTTACTCAGTCACATAATACTTAGGTGAGTAAAATGACTGAAATATGCACATATTTGAAAGCAGTGGGTAACGGAAAATGAAATACCCACTCAACATTCATAATACCCACTCCAAAAAAATGCAGTGGGTACAGTACCCACATGAGCTAAATCTTATCTGGAGCTCTGGATCAACTAACTGTATCACTGCTGACGGCATAAAATAACATTAACACAGTGAAGCGAGTGAGTGAGTATGGCTTTACGCCGCTTTTAGCAATGTTCCAGCAATATCGTGGCGGGGACACCAGAAATGGGTTTCACACATTGTACCCATATGGGGAATCGAACCCAGGTCTTCGGAGTGACGAGCGAACACTTTAACCACTAGGCTACCCCACCACCCCTCACACACTGGAGCTATAAGTCCCTCTCTTGACATCTTTCACAGAATTGTGCTGCAGACAGATGAGAATGTATTAAGCTTCAGGTTTAAAGAGATTAACAGTAGTTTCATAATTCAACTACTGTTGGCCAAGGAGACTTTTTTGGCAAGGGAGAGCAAGGAACGTCCGTCATAAGTTTCACCTGTCCCTCGAGTTTCTAATTTAGTAAGTTGTTTATTTCACCCCTTTACATGTCACCAGGAAGTCTGGCTCGGTTCGTGCAAACGACAAAGGTTTCAAACCTTCACATATACAGCAACACCCTAACACTGTGTGGAGTGCTTTTTGAAGAATCATACAGCTGTTTGTGTCCTGCTTGAATATAAACCACATTCTTAGCTGATTCAAACCGTTCAAACTGAAGCCATGAAAATCACCAAAAGCATAATCATGCCCTTAGACGCTTCATTATCATGCCCTTAGATGCTTCATTATCATGCCCTTAGATTCTTCATGATCATTCACTTAGATCCTTCATTATCATGCCCTTAGATGCTTCATGATCATGCCCTTAGATTCATTATCATGCCCTTAGATGCTTCATGATCATGCCCTTAGATTCTTCATTATCATGCCCTTAGATGCTTCATTATCATGCCCTTAGATTCTTCATGATCATTCACTTAGATCCTTCATAATCATGCCCTTAGATCCTTTATTATCATATCCTTAGACCCTTTATAATCATGCACTTAGACCCTTCATTATCATGACAGAGACCTCCAATTACCATGACACAAAGCTCCCATTATCAGGCCCTGGACTCCAAATGTCAAGCCTGGGAACCCCATTATCATGCGTGAAATACCCCACATTACCCCACCCCAAATTATCGTTTCTAAGACCCACCATCTCCAGTATCATTCTAAGCTTGCCCATTATCATGCCATGTTTCCCTTAAATCATTACTGAGAGTCCACAAGACTTAAAAAGACCAAAGAATATCCTTGTTCAACTACCTTCCATACACCATATTTACACTGAACATGATAAAGTGTGCCATCCTTTTTACAAATTAAACTGAAACCAGAAAAATCCATTAAAGAGGAACAAATTTTATCTTCCACACTTAAGATGATAATGCTTTTCCAAAACAGACCCATTATAATCGTGAATCAATATTAATTTTGTATCCATAATCACCCAGGTATTTCTGTTCCTTGACTGCAGCAAGTGATTACACATACCTTTGTTCAAGTGCCATTAATTCACACGTAACGATTTCCATAACCTAAATATTTATCTTCTAATAAATGAACCAAGAAGAAAGGGAAGCGAAGTCTTTCAGGACAAAATTAGCTGATCCATTTCGTGATGAAATCCACATGACTGAATTGATTTATAGCTTGAATCAACATCTGACTTCTCTTCATAATCAAAAATCGATATAATGTACATGCGGCTTGGAGATAAAACGTTGGGTTTTGTACTCCCATTGTCTGTTTTGATAATTAGAGTAAACTTCAGCTTGCAGACAACTGGTTTTCTGCTTCGTGACTCACTTGTGTTGATTCTGTTTGACCTAATTTTGAGCCCATACAGCCACTGTTATGATATTCGAGTAAAGGATGTATATTTCACACGTCACGACACTTTCAACAATGTGTGCATCTGTACATTGTATTTCCGTATTGTTCAATGCCTTTCCTTGTTACTGACAGAGCATTGATTTCAGACATGAACGAAATAGCGGTCAAGGAAGGAATCTTTATTTAGCCTAATAAAACTTTCAACTAAAACTCTAATGTAGTTTTCTCATTTCGGATAAGTGTTGATAGTGTGGCTAATATGACGAATAATAAAACACAACCAAGTTTTAACATTGATACCAAAACATTATTGACGTTTTTGAGTTAGAATAAAGATTTCTTAACATATTATCATTTCTTCTGTACATTGGTGACAAAATCTCATTACTTCCCTTTCCATTCAATCTAGTTTTTAAACAATCTGACAATGTTTAGTCAAAGGCTTTTCATTTGCTTTTTGTTTCAGGTCCAACAAAAACAAGATATATGGCTTTACTGCACCAAAGAATTGAGGATTAGTGACAATATGCCATTACATTTTCTTTCGTTCAATTAAATTGTAAAACAGCCTGACAGTGTTTTGTCAAAGGCTTTTTTCTTTTAATTCAGGTCTAATAATCCAACAAAAACATCACATTAGGCTTTACTGCACCAAAGAATTAAGGGGAAAGCCACGCTTCAAAATACCTTGTCTAAGCTATAGTGTTCCAAACTAAATGCTCTGTTGGTAGGTGGAATACCAGGTTCTCAAGTAAATCACATTCATAACGTGGCATACCTTTCCGGATGAGTGACTGTCACATAAAGTAGACAAGCTCACAAGAAGAGCCTAAGGGACTCCTATAACTACAGGAGCCAGCAAATCATTTTCGTTTTTAATGCAAGGACACGTCATACCTTTGTGTTGAAAAGTGGCTGAGAAATTGAAAACTTTTGTGACATATAATAGCCACTATTAAACTCATTTAATAATATCTTTCCTTTGTATTGGAGTAGTGTCA